AATATCATCCATTTGTTTAATGTTTTGTCATTTTTATCTCAGATTAATCTAATAATATGAGATGATCATGTATTTAAAGCATTTTATTAACTTTTCTAGAGAAATATAGAATTCATGATGAGGTTATATTTTATGGACGTACTTTTGACCGACGCTAAAGTGACCTTGAAGGTGTTCACCTAATAACTAGAACCAAATGAGGATTATAAACCAGTGTGTATGAGGAATTCGAATTATTTTTTACAGTTGATGATTAAGGTTAGGGATTAGATTTAGGGTTTTGGTCATGAACTGACATCAGCTATAATGCCAAAACTCTATTTGTCCAAATGGATGTGAGTGAATTTCGCGGCAAAATCCGAGACCTGTTATCTTATATACGTGATTAGTTCGTTCATTAATTATAGTCTCGCCGAATTCGTTAGTGTAAGAATGTTACGCATTCATTGTAACTATTAGCCAGCTTAGGTTAAATGATTCTCAACATATTGACAATCTTCCAAATATTTCTTTGAACCCATCATTGAATTCTGATTTGACAGGGTTGTTATCTTTCGATTATAAAGGTGTTACAGACAAAAGCATAGTCAAACCCTGAATAACAGTGAAATCTTTATGTTTATATCTGGCAGCTGTAAATAACTAGTATATAGAAAACACATTCAGGAAATGATCAAAATTTCTAGGATAAACACAAGTATTGAACCTTGGAAACATTGCAAATAACCGCCTAAATACCTCTTGAAAAGTTTTGAAGTCTAAATGACTTGAATACCGAGCAATATCATTTGTAAAACTATTATATCAGTCAATACAACACATTTCCTACTGCTTATTAAGCCAGCTATGGAGAGTGAAGAAGACTGAGAGCGCATATAGAAAGCTTTATTTGTCTAGGTCCGAATGAATGTGTACATAAGTCATAAGCATACACAATAATGGAGTAATATACAATGATTATGGTTCTAGGCTAGTAAATAAATTACTTATAAACACTAAACTAGCCGGAACTTCCACTTCATACTTACAGAATATTCTTGCGTTAACATGTGGTCTGTTTATATATATAAATCATAAACAACCAGGAATCACTAGACAATTGCTTTATCTTAGTGTGGGTTTCGTCAGAAGTGTTTCCAAAACAAAATTGGTGATCAAACCCAGAACATACAGCTTTCGTACTGAATGTATAACCTTTAAACTGGTGAATTCGTATCCAGTAGTTCAGTTGTTTTTGGTGAATGATTATCTTTCCAATAGTTGAGATCATGAGTCAATTGAAGCTAGATCACCATAGAGAACCTGGAACCACTGGATGGCCGTTTCATCCTATTGCGGGACTCCTCAGCAGTGCGCATCCACTATTCCGATTCGCGAGATTTAAACCCAGGACCTATCAGTCTCGCGCACGAGCGCTTAACCACCAGACCACTGAGCTGGCCGGCATCCAACGGTATTAATGTCTAACTTCAACTAATCCACGAAATTGAGCGACCCCCACCATTGTCATCATTGAGTTACTATCTCACAACTGACCCGGTTGAACTCCACTGGTCACTGCTTCTTATTAGAACTCTAGGATATACATTTTGAAGCCAGTCACTAGTGAGCATATGTTATCTTACTAGAATCAGTTTGTATTAATAATCCTCCCTAAAGCAAAATCATTTTTGTAATCAGTTTATTTGACAATTTTTTTGGTCTACTCTAAATGATCTTACACATAGTCACATCCAAATTCACAACACTGATCAATTTTCAAAGTGTTACGTACAAATAAGCAAATGAAATACTTTTTGGTCCATTTTAAGTGTTCAATATCATGTCAGTCACATGTGTAAGTAGATTGAGAGAAAAAAGTATTGTTTATCAGAGAAAATTGTTGTTGCTAGACAACAACTATTTATTTATTTAAGCACATAAATATTGGTACAAAGGGGCACCGAATATCTATGCACCATACAAGTCACTTGATTCATATGTGTACTATGATACAGCCCGGTTGACCAAATTGAAGCAGACCGAAAAAAACAAAAGTTACAGTAGTAATTTAAGTTCTAGGGCAAATGAAAGATATTGAATATTATAAGTTGATGGATGAATGAAAACGTTATTAGTAAACAATTAAGTAGTAGAAACTTATAGACAACTTCAGAAATTGATCACTGTAAAACCTGGAACTTGCCGGCGGTTAGTGTGGTATACGACTTTGGTACTCGAATGTGGAGGTCTTGCACGTCGCAATTCGAAAAGGCAGAAGAAAACATGGAAAGGGTTTGTTAAAGCAAGTGTGAAAAATGTACAGAGAAACAAGTGTGTTTAGTTTTTGATGTAGACTGTGATATCAACATAATCCAGCCAATATACAAGCAGAAATTGTGTATAACTGTTCAATTACAGCATGCCGCTTCAATATTTTAGAAAATTCTGTCGGAATGTTATTAACTGGAAACAATTTGGATCTTTTAGAGTCTGAAGAGGCCTCGTCACGCCTCCTGGAAACCTTCCTAACATCTCCCAAAAATGGAGTTTCTGGAATATGATTTCCTGTCCAAGTCCAGTTTTAACCTCGTCACTGTGTTCCGTTTGAAATTCACATCCCGTGATGGCTTAGTTCTTTTGCTTCCTTGATCATTAGAGCTCCTTTGAAAAGTTCACGATTATGTCAAGTGGAAATCCGTCTTGCATGATTACTATCCTCATCCCTGCGCATCTGATTTGCATGTATTATATGTGTGGCATCAATTCCCCGAACTAAGTATACTACTTTGCCGATTTTTCGTTCAACTATATAAGTTTTCCATTTGTTGTTGCCTTGATGATTTAAATAATACTTCTACCGGAAAGCTGTGAGTAGGCTCGTTTTAGTTCTGTCTACTTGTGGGAGTGACAGCATACTTTTGAAGATAACTCGAAGTTTTCTTTCGAATACACACACAGCTAAGGACTTCTGACATAAAAGGATTAGAAGTAGTTCGATGGGACATTAAAAAATTATTTGCTAACTGTATCGGTATTTCGCCTCTTTCTCGCTTCATCAATACCTTTTTTCTAATAGAAAAATCTAACTGTAACCTAATAATTCACGTCGAATTTGATATTTTCAATTGACTTACATCATTGTATATTGGAACAACATACTTATCCATTTTTTGAATGAAGAAAATGTACAAACAATATGAAAAGACAATACATCATGTTATCGATGAGATAAAGTATATACATGATATAATATGATGGTTGGAAGTAAATTAGGGGCGACCAAACCGAAACGTGGCATCAGTCCTCGAAGTCACTAACTTCTAGTCTTAGCCATGTTGGTAGATGTAGACTACTTGGTTGGGATGCGCGCGACAATCATAACCAATGGTTCGAGACTGGGTGAAATTGCTCAGAATCGATTACAATGGCGTAGGTGTATACACTATTTGTCTTCCTTTAAACCATGAGATTAAAATCGCTTTATATCTTCCTCTCTGTACTATATCCTTACATAAAATCTTTCCTTTATATATTATATCATTGAGTTAACTGCTTCTGTGAGTCCAGTGTTCGTCTTGCTGTGCTAATAAGGTGCGGCAACTTGGACCGATGCACATATATATGCCTAGTTCTATGTTGTAACTGGCTGAATGATATGATGTATTCAAGATTATGTACATGTGAATACTCATATTGTGGTGCGTGCTACTTATATCGATGTAAGTAGTATATGACACTAGTCAAAAACGGAATGTCTGGCAGCAGAAGATGAGGAAAGATCAAGAAAGAGAGAGTGAGCACACAATACAATTTGTAAGAAAACGCATGAACAATGGAATGTGAGACAATTGATTGATGTTTGCAACAAGAACAGTCCGGTTTGATATGATGGAATGATATTTTGCAAATTAACGATTTACTATTTGGATTTTCTATTTTACCAAATAACTCTGTAACTGTGTACTAAATGCAACTCGGTTGTCCTCACCTGTGTTCTCCTCCACTGCATTTGGTGTCGCTGTCAACCAGGAGGAGGGGGGTGCTGTTCTGCGGACGCCGTTGCGGTCTGGAGCTGAGGTGCTGGTTGGGGCAGTCTGGTGCGGAGAGATGGCCTCGAGTGGAGTGTTCTGGCGGGACGGCGTCGGCTGTAGCGAGTGCTGTCGACGGAGAGGAGCGGTGGGACGTTCGCTTGTCCCCACCAGTGTTCTGTTCACTACAATATTATTATGAGGGTATTTCATTCTAGTTCATAGGAAAGATATCAATGCTTCAAAGCTCTCTAGATTAGCTTCATGTGTGAAATCCTAACTATATATTCTGTAGATGTGATTTAAGTCTTGTTTAAGGGGAAAATATTGTCAGAATTTAATAAGTAATACAAATTTATCTTAAGTACTCTATTCAAAACATTTATTTACTCTATTACATAATCAATGGTTTACACATCTTGATTTATTGTATCTGATAAACTGAAATCCTGTTAGTGCCTTGAAGTGATAACAAAAGTTGTAAAACTGGAGCAAAAGGGTTACTCACAGGTATAAGAATGTAGTTTAGATATGGTAACTAAATGCTACAAATACATGGAAGTCGATACGTGGTTGTTTGTGACGGAACTATCGAGTTTAGAATTTTTTTACACATACAACAATTGATGAGGTTAGAGCGTATTCCGCGATCATCTACTTTAATTTGCTATTCAAATTGGAATACAAGTATATTATAAGGTAGCCCATACATAAGTCAGATCAGAGTAGGACATCAATTAATAAGCATGTTTTCATCGGTCCCAGTGATTTTGTTGACAGTCGTTCTACTAATATTTATCAGTTAGGTCATAATACATAAACATACAGTAAATCAATTACATCTACATCACTATTAAGCATTAATTTCCTGTGTGGCCAATGAGGCTAAGATACGATTGACCAGTGAGTGTGGATAGATAGACACTCAGGTAACTGATTAGTGTATAAATTCCTTTCTATTATTGACTTCGATTTAGAACTTTACTAAGTGTAGCCTGCTTGTAATTATGTTAAATGAAATCTTGTATGGCATATAGTCTAATTTTTGATATTTGGTAAAACATGTGTAGCGTACCAATTTAGTAACCAGTTTCATGGTGATATAATTTCGTGCCAAGCCGTATTATCACATTGTAGTAGTATATCGTGGTAAATGAGAACATTTGCATTCTGCCGTTATATTGTAACGAACGAAAACTAAGGTACGGTAAACTGCTTTACAGATTTCTTGCAGAATTACCCAATGCCTTTGTAAAATATGAAAGTTATACATACTTCATGATTCTTTTAATCCTGTCATTATTCCAAATGTTCTTTGTTTTCCACCTTGTTCGCTTCAATTCGATTCTATGCTGACAGGCATTCTATCTCAGATTGTTGCTACATACAATTTGTATCTGTCAGCATAAATAGCGTAACCCATAATCTCATTCACGTTACAGACTGACATAAATTAGGCAATCACTGGGATCCAAGAAGCAATGGATAGTTGTATCATCTTCGTATGCTACCTCATCAGAGGTCGAATTCGAGGCGTTCAGATCCTGAACATACACTTCTGAAGAATCCTATGCGAGGACGAAACAAATGTCTCAGTGCTTTTTAGTTTTCAAAGTTTGTTTAAATAAGATCAATCCATAATGTGAACTATAGAAAACATAACAATCCCTACAAACCTCTCATACCAATATCTGCTAGCTAATAATAAATATACAAAGCGTACATAAAAAAAGAATAAGGGATAAAAAAAAATGGATTTCCTATTCGAACTGCAATCATCCCGCCCCCCCCCAAAAAAAACATTCATCACACAATGTATTACATAAAAAGAAACAATATAACAATGTTTTAACATTAAATGCTCCGGTTAATAGGGTACATTTAATAATGGGATGATGAGTAAAGATAACATATAGTAATTAGGATGGAATAATTTAACAAATGAATATTTACTGAGAGTTTGAAATATGGTAAGGTTAATACTACCACTACTACTACTACTACCATTAATAGTAGTAGTAATAACAGGGATAACAATGGTAAGAGTAATTTGATTTAATATTAATAACAAAGCAGAATCAACTATTCTCCTTGAACAATATTCTCTTCGTTCGAAGTAGACAATTCAGGAGGATTAGTATCAGTAATTGATGGGCTAGAAACAGATGGAACAGGAACATTATTATCATCTGATAGTAAGCTTGCAACAGTACATGCATTAACTTCAGTAGAAGGTGGTGCATGATGTTTGGATGATTCAAAAAATACCACATCTTCACTGACTGAATCAATAGGTTGGGTAATTTTAGAGCTTGTAGTAACAACCACCAAAGAAGGATCTGAATGAGTTACAACATTTTGTGCAACTGTTACGGTGATATTAGGTACAGGCGTATCATTCGATGGTTCAATAATTTGACGAACAGTGTGTGGTTCCGATGTAATAGGATAGACAGATTCTGACCAAGAATCACAAGTTGTTTCTGTTTGCGGTAGTGTATTAGAGGCTGGCTGTGTTGTTGTTGTTGTTGTCACCGTGGTCATCGTCGTCATCGGTGGTTGTGCTTGACACTCATCACGTGGATGATGTTGAATAAGTTGAGTAGGTGTCGGAGAAATATGTCCACCAGATGATAGTTGTTGATTTGGAGAAGGCAAAACAGACGGAGTTGTTGTTGTGATTGTCCCATAATTTGATGATGGATAAACTGTTAGATTTGTAGAGGTAGAATTTAAAACCGATCTTGGATCATTAGAAATTGGTGCAGTTTGTGCTGGATAATTACTACTAGTTGGTTGAATAACATGAGGTCCTGGTTGCATTGAAGGATTAGAGTGTAGGACTGGATTCATTACTACTGAACAAGAACCTTGAGTACCAGAATAAGGAGGTTGTAAAGGATTTTGTGGCTGCTGTAGTTGTTGTTGTTGGGGCAAAACGACGTTACTACTTTGTTGCTGTTGTTGTTGATGATGATGATGCATTAAAGCTCTGGCACGATTCTCCATTGTTTTAATCACTTCCATATGAAATGCTTGACGTTCTTGTAATAATTGTTGACGCATTTGCTCAATCATTTCATATTCACGTTCCATGATACTTTCTAATTCCTAATTAAATAGAATATAAATTAGACGGTAATGGGAAATGCAAGGAAAGAATGCATAGTACAATTTCATAATACCTTCTCACCGCTAGATATCAAAGATAAATTCGCTTTTACAGTTAATGGATTATTTAGAAGTGACCAATAATAAGACGTATGTCAATCCATTCTTTAAACCTGATTGAAATCTATCGATCAATTTGCAACATGACCACTAGTCTAAGTGAATCGACATTGCGTGCACTATGTTGAGCTGTAAAGTACTAGTAGTGGTAGTAGCACTGGTTCTCAATTTTGGTCTCATTTGGCGTGGATACAGTTCTGAACTTTGGTCCTAATTGGAGGGAATACTTGCTGTAACGAATTTGGTCGGAATCCTGTTTGGTTCATTCATTCCAACGATGACTAGAACGAGAAGAATGAAGTACAACGATGACAGTTCCCAAGACACAGACAATTCCAGTGCTGAAAATATTATTCCTTCAGTTTCTAAGGTGAATTCACCTATTTCTTTAAATCTTGCTCTTGATAATGTTAAACTTAACCCCAAAGACAGTTGCTCTGTAGGAGACAACTATGTAGAGACTAGATGCAGCATAGAAGACAAAGTAGTTTCTAGGGAAAAGGAAGTAGAAAAGATTGAGCTGGAGATTAGAGAACTCCAACTCCGCAAGCGTCTGTTAGAGTTAACTCCGAATTCTTTAAGCAAAGTGAGAAAAGCGAGTGAAACTACCGAGTCATCGGAGTCTCGATCTAGGGACATAAACCCAGCAGTCACGTCAGGTCGCCAGTACACCAATGAATATTTGAGCGATGAAGTGCAACTCAAAGCACAAGTGGATAGTGTCAAGTCACTATTTATGACAGCCAGTTTACCGAAGATAGAGGTCATGAAATTTGATGGAAGTGCTTTGAAATTTTGGACGTTCATAAAAGGATTCAAGGCTAACATAGCTGACAGAGTAGATGATGATACTCAGAGACTAATGTACCTGATACATTATTGTGAAGGCACAGCTAAGGATGTTATAGAGCATTGTGTTTTATTACCAGAAGAAGGTTATACTAAAGCAATTAATATTCTACACAAACAGTTCGGCAGGCCACATGACATCGTAGAAGCGTTCTTAACAGAATTGTTAAGTGGATCACCATTAAATCAAGACGACGTAACGGGCTTACAGAAACTGACGAGACTCATGACTAACTGTAAGATAGCCTTGTCACAGATGGGCAGAAATGCCGATCTGGATTGTTCGACCAATATAAAACGAATAGTGAAACGACTACCACGAGGTATACAGTTTAATTAGACGGAAGACGCAGACGATATTTTAAGAAAGGGGCTAGAGCCCAATTTTGATGATTTGTTGCAATTCTTAGAAAGGAAAGTGTCAATCGCCACGAACACTTACGGACAGTTAGCAAGTGGAAGCTACAAAGCTCAAACGACATCGAACAACCGGTCTGCTTCTATAAGAGCTAAGATCCATACATCGTCGAGTAAAGGAACAGTTCATTGTGTAATTTGCTCGGATGCCCACGAAGTCGTATCTTGCCCACAGCTGCTAGCAGTAAATCACAACGGAAAGTTAGAATTACTGAAGAAGTTTAAGCTTTGCTTTAATTGTTTAAAACCCAATCATCGAGCAACAGACTGCCGACAACCCGTGTTGTGTGAAATCGATGGATGCAAGCGACGCCATCATAGAATTCTTCACACCACAGAACCTGATGCTAAACAAGCATGCTGTAACTCTACTTATACTGCTGGAACGTATTTAGGCTTTGTACCAGTCAGGCTACATGTTTAATCTTGTCACTGTACCACAGGACATGTGGATACCTATGGATTGCTAGATAATGGCTCAGACTCGACACTACTGCTTAGTAACGTGGCAAAGCAGGTAGGAATTTCTGGTACAGTGACAAGATTAAACATGTAGCCTGACTGGTACAAAGCCTAAATACGTTCCAGCAGTATAAGTAGAGTTACAGCATGCTTGTTTAGCATCAGGTTCTGTGGTGTGAAGAATTCTATGATGGCGTCGCTTGCATCCATCGATTTCACACAACACGGGTTGTCGGCAGTCTGTTGCTCGATGATTGGGTTTTAAACAATTAAAGCAAAGCTTAAACTTCTTCAGTAATTCTAACTTTCCGTTGTGATTTACTGCTAGCAGCTGTGGGCAAGATACGACTTCGTGGGCATCCGAGCAAATTACACAATGAACTGTTCCTTTACTCGACGATGTATGGATCTTAGCTCTTATAGAAGCAGACCGGTTGTTCGATGTCGTTTGAGCTTTGTAGCTTCCACTTGCTAACTGTCCGTAAGTGTTCGTGGCGATTGACACTTTCCTTTCTAAGAATTGCAACAAATCATCAAAATTGGGCTCTAGCCCCTTTCTTAAAATATCGTCTGCGTCTTCCGTCTAATTAAACTGTATACCTCGTGGTAGTCGTTTCACTATTCGTTTTATATTGGTCGAACAATCCAGATCGGCATTTCTGCCCATCTGTGACAAGGCTATCTTACAGTTAGTCATGAGTCTCGTCAGTTTCTGTAAGCCCGTTACGTCGTCTTGATTTAATGGTGATCCACTTAACAATTCTGTTAAGAACGCTTCTACGATGTCATGTGGCCTGCCGAACTGTTTGTGTAGAATATTAATTGCTTTAGTATAACCTTCTTCTGGTAATAAAACACAATGCTCTATAACATCCTTAGCTGTGCCTTCACAATAATGTATCAGGTACATTAGTCTCTGAGTATCATCATCTACTCTGTCAGCTATGTTAGCCTTGAATCCTTTTATGAACGTCCAAAATTTCAAAGCACTTCCATCAAATTTCATGACCTCTATCTTCGGTAAACTGGCTGTCATAAATAGTGACTTGACACTATCCACTTGTGCTTTGAGTTGCACTTCATCGCTCAAATATTCATTGGTGTACTGGCGACCTGACGTGACTGCTGGGTTTATGTCCCTAGATCGAGACTCCGATGACTCGGTAGTTTCACTCGCTTTTCTCACTTTGCTTAAAGAATTCGGAGTTAACTCTAACAGACGCTTGCGGAGTTGGAGTTCTCTAATCTCCAGCTCAATCTTTTCTACTTCCTTTTCCCTAGAAACTACTTTGTCTTCTATGCTGCATCTAGTCTCTACATAGTTGTCTCCTACAGAGCAACTGTCTTTGGGGTTAAGTTTAACATTATCAAGAGCAAGATTTAAAGAAATAGGTGAATTCACCTTAGAAACTGAAGGAATAATATTTTCAGCACTGGAATTGTCTGTGTCTTGGGAACTGTCATCGTTGTACTTCATTCTTCTCGTTCTAGTCGTCGTTGGAATGAATGAACCAAACAGGATTCCGACCAAATTCGTTACAGCAAGTATTCCCTCCAATTAGGACCAAAGTTCAGAACTGGTAACGTCTGTGAATGCGAAGCTCAGTAATACAGGTTAGAGTCCGCCAACGATCATATCAATGCTCTTGAGATTACAGATATATCTCGTCAATAAAAATTATTTATTGCTTCTGGGATAATATTAGCAATTACTACTGAGTAATTGACTAACAAACCACTGGAAACCCGGAAGCGTTAGATAGTTGTATCTTTCTTAGCATATAACAGTGAGCATCCATGACTAGGGTTTCCTGGTTTTGAACAGTTTTCTCTAATCAAGGTTAATTTGTGATGTAAAATTTAACAAACTCTTACATTAATAGTTTTTCTGTAGGTCATGTTAATGTACAAGGTCTTGGAATATCGTTCAGTTAATTATCATATATTCTCTCCCAGTTTTCTGTATTAAACAATACGATAATAATAATAAATTAGTCGTGATATGTTTTATCAGTCAGTCATCAACAACGTAGAACTTTGTACGTACGTATGTACATCAGTTCGAGTTTTCATACCACATTAGCACACAGATGCAACTGTCAATTCAAATCACATAGTGGTAGAGGTAGTAGGATTATAAGCAGTGATCAAAAAGATTAGAGTTTGAAGACGTTATTCAAGGAGTATAATCTAGTGAAATAAATTTAGAAAGAGAAGAAAGAAAGGGCCATGAAAAATTCAGAAGATTAGAATTTGGGAGAACACAAAGAGTGAATGCACCTGCGCCATTGCAAACGATTTTGAGCCATGTCATTCAAGGTCTCTAGCCATCAGTTGCTATCATCTCGCGGATCCCAACCAGGTAGTCTACACCTAACAACATGGCTCAGTCCACTTGTCAGTGACCCCATGAATTTGTACCATGTTTTGGTCTGGTCAACTCTAGTTTTCTTCCATCCTACTCTTACACCAAAAAACATCGCACATCGGTGGTTGGGCATACGTAACACGTGTCCCAGCCATCTCAACTGATGAAGTTTCATTACTTCATCAATTGATTTGCCATCCTTACCTAGTACCCGTTTTCTAACAACTTGCTCGTTGGTCCCACGATATACGAGCAATGCTTTGAAGACACCTATGATCGAATTCTAGTAACCTACGAATATCCTCTACTATTATCGATCATGTTTCATAGCCATAAAGTAAGACGGAACGAACTGCTGCGCAGTAAACCCGTCCTTTGTTTGATAGACGGATATCTCGCCTACACCATAAATGACGCAAGTTAGCAAAAGCTAATCGAGCTCTCTATATCCATGCTGAGATTTCGTCACACATCAGGCCACAAGGGCTGATGAGACTCCCAAGATAAGTGAAGCGGTCGACACGTTGATATCTCAGTGAAGATTAAATTATGAATAACTCCTAAGAACTATTTATAGACTAATATATGTATATTCTTATTATATGACTGTTAAGTATATGTATATTCATATTCCCTTCATGATAAGCTTTTATTTGACCTATTGGTTACAGTTATATGATTTACTAGTCTCAATTTATTCTCAACCTATTAGTCATAGTTACTCACAATTGAAGCCACTTTTTGGTTTGAAATTGTACAAACGTTATTTTCTGTTTTATAGTGTCATATGGTTTGATTTTACTTCTATATAAACTAAGTAAGTTTGAAATATATAATTCAATATAACGGAGATTGAGATTAACGTTCTGGACTGAATCGGCTGGGTTAGACGAGAAACTGCTATCTGAAGGACCAATAAGAACTCTAGGGTGCTCGTATTGGTTTATGCATCATTGGTTCGGTCAATAAGTCGTTGACTTTAATTTGTCATTGTATCGCGTGATATATAATAACACGGCACAAGGGTCATAAGTTATGACACTTGAAGAAACTATCTATAATTAGTCTACAAGAGGTTTCGGTATCTGTGTAAAAATTTGAAATGGTGTCCGGTTCTCTTGAAAATCATCCTCTCGTCGGATATATTTATGAATTGTAAATAGTGATGCAGTAGGGTTACTAGTGGTTAAGGTGTTCAAATTTCAACCATTAAATTTCAGGTTCAAGATCTGTTCCACTGGTGTACTTTGGTATAGGCCACTATCTAGGTATTTGTGAGTGAATAACAATAGTAACAAAAAAACTAATCAAATCTTACCTGGATTTGTTTAAGTTTTATATCGAGTTTTTTCAACTGTGTTTCAACTAATTGAGCGACTAAACCTTTTATACGTTTTTCTTCAACACTGGCTAAATGACGTGCTTTAATAGCTGCAGCAGCTAATGCACATGCTGCAGCTGTACCTAAACTATTCGGATTTGGTGGTAATGAAGATGAAGACGATAATGATGAGGTGTTAGTGACTAATTTTTCATTAGATACTTGTTCACTAGTTGATTTTTCCATTTGTTGTGTAGTAGAAGAATCTATAACAGACTTAGTGAGTTTTTCTTGTTCAACCGTATCCTTTAATTGTTCATCAGGTGATTTTGTTTGAATTCTGTCACTGCCAACAACTTCAGCAGTAGCGACAGGAGCTTCATCCATTACTGTAGGCGGTGTTTGATTCACATCAGTTGAATCCTGTTGTTGTTCGTCAATTGTCACCTGCTCAGTTTTACTGCTGTCATTTTCTACATTTTCCTCCATTTTATATTTTTCCAACTTTGTTGTTACATTATTGTTATTAATATTATCGTCATCATCGTCATCGTGTTTATCACGATTTTCAGTGACTTTACTTTCATTTGTGGTGTCGTCAGTGGGAACAGCTGTTATTGTTGTGTCCATTGGAACAGTTTCCTAGAAAATAGGTGAGAAGTAACAAGACAAAAATATACACACTACAATGTGACAATAATAACAATAATGCAATAAAGAGAATATAATGCCTATTGACATTATTTAATACAGGCTAAGAGAATCAATAATACTATTGTGTCATTTATCAAATGAATTAAACATAATGTGCTGCCAAATGCCCTGTCAAAGTCGAGGGTGGAGAGAGTCTACTCTCCTTTCGAAATGCTCTCACATAGCCATGTGTATACGGCCACCGTTAGGGAAGTCATACTCACTGCCTTCTCGTAACGCGGGTGTTGTTTACAAAGTTGAGAAGACGAAAAGCGAATGTCCGACGCTTTAACCCGGTTGGTGGATATTGAGGGGAGTTGGAAAATCCTGATTCCAAACCAATGGTGCACATGGGCTCCAGTATCCTGAAGGAAAAAATGACGTATGAACCAATCGTTGACTACCGGCTACCATGGGATTGCATCTCCTTACGTTGCTCCACTGCCTTGTTGATCAGACCATAAGGTCGAAGGCTCTAGGTGTGGCCTCCCAAGAAAACCACCTGTTTCGGTCTGGGCATTCAAAATTCCGCATGTGGGACTCGAACACAGGACCTTCGATCTTGTGCGCGAACACTGAGTCAGCATACAACGATATATCTAACTTTAACCAATCCATGATACATCTTCCTATATTTATAAGAAATTATACTTTTCAATTCGTTCATCAAATCATACAAATATATGCGTGTGTATCTCAATAATGTAAAATGATAATTTGAATTAGTCTAATGTATAGGCCCCCAAATGCCCTGGTACGACCGAGAGTGTGGAGAGTCCGCTCTCCCTCTCCAAATGCTCTCACATGGCCACGCGTATATAGCCTCTGCCAGGGAAGTCCTACTCACTGCATTCTCGTGGCGTTACTGTTGTTTACGAAAATGAGAGGACGAAAAGCGAATGTCCGGTGCTTTAACCGGATTCCAAACTGATGGTGCACATGGGCTCCAGTATCCTGAGGGAACAAATGGTGTATGAACCAATCGTTGACTACCGGCTACCATGGGACCGCATCTCCTTACGTTGCTCCACTGCCTTGTGGATCAGATCTTCAGGTCGAAGGCTTGAGGAGTGGCCCCTTAAGAAAACCACCTGCTTCTTTTTGGACACCCGGGCAGAATCACAGCCCTCACATATATCAAATGAGATTTGTGTGGCGCATATGTATTTGGTGCCTCCTTTTACCAATATCTGTGTTAAAATAAATAAATAAATAATAAATAATGTATAAAATAGAAATAACTTTTAATTAGACTTAATAATGATTAATTTCGTTTACTTTATGATTAGTTGTTTCTTTTATTATATCATTATCCATTGACATTTGTTCATTACCAACTACTGATAATTTCTCTGTTGTAATTGATTGTGTAGATGATTTACATAATTTTTCTGATTCCATTAATTGATTATTACCACCAACTTCATCTAAACCAAATTTTTGTGGATCAATTTGGTGACCTAATTTTACTGCATTTTCAACACGTGCTTTATGTTCACGTAATAGACCAGCTGGTACTTCATCACGCATTTTAGCATATTCTATAAGTGCTGCTTGAGCTGCCGCTGATGCTACACGTGGATCAACAGCAGCGGCTAAAAATGCTACAGTTGATAGGATAGGATTAGCAGCTTTTGAAAAAGGCAATGTAGGATGATTGGAATTTGCTAATGATGTTAAATTTAATATAGGATCTGAACCTTCTAAATAAGCATCTTCAATAGGTAGACGTAGAAAATGAAGAATACATTCTTCTTGTGTACGACTTCCTACATGTTCAGCAACCTGTAAAAAATGAAATACAATGTATTTTTAACGAATCTACAATTATGTGGAAATCGTTAAGTTAACATCGAAATTCCTGAGAATAATAGAAGTATATATATGAAAGAAACTTTGTACTGGAGAGACTAAACACAGGTGAACTGATATTTGTCTAGAGAATAAATGCATACAACTTATTAGGTTTGCACACCAGGCCATGAGGTTCTTGTTAAAATCTAAGTAAAGTCTTATGTTGGGTTTTTTTACTTTGGTGGTACATATAATCAAATCAAATTGATACAGACAACATTAGCATGGCAAGGAGATGCAAAATCGTGAAGGCTTTATATTTAGCCTCAAAACGTCCTGGTACAGGCAGGACTAGTGTTGTAATTTTCTCTTATTATGGCCCAGCTATTCCTATTGCTTAGTACTCTTGGACACCAATTCACTCGACAAGTCCTCAAATCAGAACACGGTTGAACAGGAACGAAATTATATTCCAACTAACAAGGGTAGATGGAAGTTAAACGCACAATAAGAGAAACGTTAGTATATCTATGATTTTTAAATGAGAATATTCTAAAGTCTTCTCCAAGTATCGACTAGCGCAGCAACACAATCGTACACGGAACGTGCTTTAATCCAATCTGTATCCCGCTAACAATTAGAAAGAGCCTGCTCTGCTTCCCAAAAAGCTTTCATATGGTCACACCTTTATCTCCTCTCCCAGAGAATTCCTCCTCATTGGTGTGTTTATGAAAATCAGAGAAAGAAAAGAAATATACAGCGCTTGTATCGGGTTGGTGGATATAGAAAGTTCACTTAGGAAACTAAGAAAACCTTGGTTACAAAGACTCTATGACCCTAAGAGAATAAATAGAGTGTGAACATGTTTCTGATCACCAGCTATCATTATGGATGGTATCTCCTGATGTTGCTCCATTGCTTTGTGAATCAGACTTATTAAGTTAAAGATCCAGAGAACAAATTTCTAAGGAAAACGTCAGGTCTGATTTGAGCACTTGGGCAACATTCTACCCTACACCACTTTGGTATGCAAGATATTTTCTTTATTCCGAAAAAAAAGAAAATGAAACCCATCTAAAGAAGATTTCGAAGAAATTTCATTGAAATATTAAACTTACCTTATTCCAATCATCCCGATAAAGTTCTAAGGCTTCTAATAACAATAGAGTTTCTTGATCACTCCAACCACTTTGTGTAGCACCTTTCATAAGTTTGTTATTAACAATTACCGACTGTGATGTTGCATCTAAATTAGTTGTAGAAGGTTGGCTACGACTATCCGTAGAATTTAAACAAGTAGTTTTCGCAATGCTTGCATTAGTGAGATATTGATCTGTACGTAAATTTGGATCACCGATAATTGGTTGTTTATTTAAAGGTTGTGTACTATTAGTAATACATATTCCAGAACTGACAGTTGTTACAGAAGCAGGAATTGTAGGATTTAACGTCGTTGTTGCGTTCGCACATTCGGTTCCCTTTGAAAAGAAAAAGATATAATGTTTGAATATCTAACTGAATTCAATATATACGCACAAGTTTATAGATGATCATCTATCGATGAAATTAAGGTATTTCGGGTAGGACAGACAGCAGCATTGGTGTAGAAATACAATATATTTGGTAGAAAAATTAATGCTTGTCAAAATTAAGTAGTCTGGATAATATCTTTAGTGAAAGCAAATTCTAATTTGTTACTTAAGTAATATATTCAAACTTTTTCTAAAAAAATATTCAACAAACTCATTGTGCTACAATGTGGTTATGATAAACCGCAAATCAAAACACAGAATATGTCAGAGTTATGAATGAGTTACACTTGACATAATGGTAAGAATTGATAGAACCAATAAGTCAGAAATTCTGGATTTAGATGTAGAGTACTGGATGATAAAACCTAGTGATTAAAATACATAGTGATAAACAGATTCAAACAATGTTTCATTCACTTTACTGTGAACAATCTGGTAATATATCATGAGGTACTGTACAAATAGGATAACACAAGGTTAAATATACTTGGTATATGAGCTATATGATTGAATGAAGGTGAACGAACTTGGTAATAAACCTGACCTAATTTAAGTAACTTGTACATTTTTTAAAGTCAAAACCTAGTTTCTACCTTCACTCACCAAGTTCAATGCCTTGTATACATTAACATATAGAATGACATTGGTACTAATCTACCCCCCAAATGCCCTGGTACGGCCGAGAGTGGGGAGAGTCCTCTCTCCCTCTCCAAATGCTCTCACATGGCCACACGTATGCAGCCTCTGCCAGGGAAGTCCTACTCACTGCATTATCGTAGCGTTAATGTTGTTTACGAAAATGAGAGGACGAAAAGCGAGTGTCCGGCGCTTTAACCGGATCTCAAACCGATGGTGCGAATGGGCTCCATTATCCTAAAGGAACGAATGGTGTATGAACCAATCGTTGGTCACCAAGGGAAAGCATCTCGTCACGATGCTCCACTGCCTTGTGCATCAGACCTTTAGGTCAAAGGCTCCGGGTGTGTCCTTCTAAGAAAACCACCTGCTTCGGTTTGGGCACCCGGGCAGTATCGCAGCCCACACACACACACACAAATATGGTGGGGCGCATATATATTTGGTGCCCTCTTGTACCAATATTTATGTGTTGAAATAAATAAATAATCAGTGTTTTACCTATCAAAGTACTCAATTTTTAGCTGCTAAATAACGTTTTTGAGTTCAGCTTGACTTAACTCGATAAGACAAATTGGATAAGGTTATTAAAATTGCAATTTGAAATGAAGTACACAAATAAGTATTCGGATATGAATGAACTGCATGAAAATCTCCAACCCGCCCCCTTCCTTAAAAACATAAAACAATTGCTAACTTAATTTATTTTTGAATTGTTTGTTTGAATCTTCCTATTGATGTTTAGGACTAAAATTGATCAGTCTCTTATCGGCATACATGCATCCTGTGTGGAATGCCTCGATATTGCCTTAAGTCACAAGCATTGTGAGCAATGGTTAGCAGTGGAATCCAGGACGCACGTCATCTTGTCTAATTTGGGACTCATCATCTGGATTTACCTGCATCACAGAGTGGATGTTCACTCCGGGACTCGAACCCAGTACCGTCTGCTTCCAAAGTCACTGTTTACGGAATAACGTACTATCTGATAATAGTGCATATGTAAAACGATAAACATTATTGTTATAAAGTACTAATTGTGCTATTTTGTTGATATTCTCTTTAGGTTGTATCAACATGAAACTTCCAAGTTTTCAATAGTGTTGGTCTAGCCTAGATTGACTTGTGGATTCAAGTGTTAAAATAAGAAATTTACAAAAAGTATTTATTAATATACATACTTGCGATTCTTGTTTAGGTATATTATTACTGATTAATGAGGTAGTAGTATCATTACTATTACTGTCATTATTAGTATTAGATTGCATTTTATACGGATCTAATTGATTCCCGTCAGTTGAAGTCGTCGTCGTAGTAGTAGCAGTAATATTACTACCATTATCAATAGTACTACTATTATTATTAGTAGTAATAGGTGGAATTATTGAATTTGTTCCAGCTAAATTTTGTGTACCAATAGGTTGTAGACCACTAGCACTATCAGCTAATATATGAAAATGTGCAGTACTTGGTGGTCCTAAACTAGCAGCTACCGCAAGACGAGCAGCTTCTGATGAATTATTACCAGCAGTATTAGTAGTAGTGGTAGTAGCACCAATAGTAGTACTAGAAGTACCATTTAAATTATTGATTCCATTTGATGATGATGAATTTGTTATTGTTGTTAAGGGTGCAGTAACTTGATAATTAATTAAACCCCATTGTTCTAAAAATGCATGAACTCTAAGAATTGAACAAACATCACCAGTGAGATTTCTTCGACAAGCTGTAAATGTAAGATATTCCTTTGAAAAAAAGAAGACAACATAATACAATTGGAAATTATAATTATTTAATGAATATTCTATTGAATGAAAAAAAGTTATTTAGACAAAACACACACATACACACATTAACAATCTATCCGGAAATGAAAAAAAACGATGTTTTATGAGGACAAGAGATAGGATACTTTTGTTTGTGAGTTTGTAGCGCATCCATTTCTCAATTAAGCGATTTTTGTGTGGACATTTTTACATTCACTTAGTGAATGATAGCTCCATTAAATAAGAATAAATTTCAGTATGTTGTGGAGATTGTTGAGTTTTTTTAATTGAGATAATGAATGGATCGTCATTGAAAATCTGGAAGCACTGGATGGTTGTTTCGTCGTGGAATGGGATTTCTCAGCAATGCGCATCCAAGATTCCGCATATGGGGCTTCGACCTAGGACTGGAGACTCTTGGTGACATGGCTAAGAATCGATCACAGTGGCGTCGGTGTATACACTCTCTGTCTTCCCTTAAACTAAGAGATTAAAATCGCTTCATATCTTTCTTTCTACGGACTAATTCTTTCTTCTTGTACCATATCCTTATTGCAATATTTCTTTTATATATTAACACCATTGAAGTGACTACTTTTATGAACCCGGTGTCCATCTTGTTGTATTAATGTGGTATGGCAACTTGGACCGATGTATATATGTGCCTGGTTCTACGTTGTAGCTGACTGACTGACATTTAATCACTCTTGGTTGACATCTGTGCGTCCCAAGCAAATTGCCTCGATAATGTCACTGTGACATAAGTTAGTGAATAATAGATGGAATGTGGCTAGCAGTGGAAACTAGGACGCACGTCACTTAGCCCTATTTGGAACTCGTCACCTGAATGTACATGTATCCCAGAGTTGATGTTCACTATAAGACTCGAACCTAGTAACGTTTGCTTCAAACATAATCGCGTTATCCAATTAGCTAATGAATCCAGATAACTACTCACTTCCCCTGTTAAACACATTCCATCTATTCTCTCTTTCTAAATATATACATATATAATTATAGTGTAACATAATGTAACGGGTATAATGAACTGAAAAGGGAATTTCATCATTTCTGCTTAACAATATAAGTACTGTATATAATTCAACTTTGTTAACACAACTGATATAATTAATTGTATTCGACTGGGAATTCGGAATACGTATATTTACTCGCAATAGTGAACAACTTAAACAGCATAATTATTTATGAAAGAAATGACTTTAACTAGTCATTATGTATAACACAAACATCATGATGCAATCTTGAAGCATTAAGAAAAGCTAAACACAAAAGTGGGTGACAGTTCTGTGAACAAGTAACTATAATAAAGAGAAATCCAGTTTAAATAAGAACGTAATCAATTAACTCTCATAGATACATTTTAACGTTTATGCAGAATACAATGAAATCACAACAGCAATGCCATAAGATTTTACTTTTAACGATTTTTCATAATGTTCCAACCCAATGAGTAACTTGAGCGATCTCTAGAACTTCATCGGAGAAACTATGGTGAAACAATAAAAGCTGATCCAATAACACAACTACCATTCATACATTTTTCTTCATCAATTTTCAGAATCAACAGATAGCGTATCTATGCAACTGTCTCAAAAGAGCAATAATAATAGCTTTATGATTTTCACAATATGTTGTCGACACAGTTTGGAAACAGCTGTCAGACATCTTTAACTACAAGGCCAAGTTCTGTAGGTATAAAATGGAGCTGCCTGTATCACATCATTGAATACTTGATCTTTTATAATTTTAATGCGCAGCGATTCACTCCGTCCTGCTTCATAAATGTGAAGCATAGCTGTTAACACTGAGGATATTCGTAAGTTACTGACGCTTAACCACAGATGTCTTAGAAGTATTCCTCGTGTATTTTGGGACCATTATGTGAGTAATATTGAGGTTAGACATAGGGTACTAGGTTAACATGCCAAACAGGTTGATGAGGTAGTGAATCTTAATCTATTGAAATGGTTGAGACATGTATTATGTATAGCCAGTCACTGTCTATAAATATAAAACATATATTTTCTTGAGTCATGTCTTAGATGTCTAATATTTTCAATTACTACTCATCCTGTCACTATTCTGGGATTTGGTCCCAAATAGGGTGAAGTGATGTGTATCCTGGATTCCACTGCTAGCCACCATTCATTTTTGCTTTAAACCACTATACAACTCATAAGTGATCAAGTAGAGAGAAAAAACTAATACACATGTTGTTATTGACATTGTGTGAGGACGGTCCACGGGTGAGCTCGAGGAAGCTCAGAAAGAGCCAAAGATATTTCATCCAATCAACTTTGGAAGAATATTCCAGAATCACTAAGTGTAGCTTCCCTATTGGACGAATGCTAATAACCCCCTCTGTGCGGATTGGATAACTATAATGATGATTTCGTTTTTATTAAAAACTATAAATACATGACAGTTTTGTACCATAATTAACACTATTTAAAATAACATTCCTTTTAGTTGTCTCCTGTCTTCTCATTTACAACTTGGAAAGGTTCTAGTGTTCGAGTGCTCAAGTTATACGCGGTATATCAAGAATATCAGCTCCAGATATAACACATTGTCAACGTCTAGTAAATTTGTAAACCGTGAAAGTTGGACATATATCATTAAAACTATTTTACAACGGTACAGCTGATTATGATATAAAATGTCTACAAACAAATTTATAATCAGTTTTATATAAATAAATCAAAACTATTAAATAAGATAAAAATTTACCTGAGGATTTAAACGATATGTATCAACCATAAAATTACGATAAGCCAAATAAACTTCCGGTGTTTTACTTTTATTTTGACCATTGAAAAATTCTGGTAATGCACGACGTTCAATTCCATGTATAGCATTATAATCAAACCAAGCTGAATAAGATGGTATCACTATACAATGAGCTTGTTCTGTTACACTTAAATCAGTATGAATAACACTTTGTCGATTTTCATCACCATTTTGAGCACAATTGACAGAACTCATTTCACCAACTGGACAGAAAAAAAACAGAAAAAAAAACAAATTACAAATCAACACTTAATATTGAAAGTGAAATATTGGGACAAAAAATAAACAAACATCATACTTTATCAGTTACTCAACTGAAGCCCCCAAATCCCCTGGTACGGCCGAGAGTTGGGAGAGTTTGCTCTCCCTCCCGAAATGCTCTCACATGGTCACGCGTATACAACAGCCTCTGTCAGAGAAGTCCTACTGACTGCCTCCTCGCAGAGAGGGTGTTGTTTGAGAAATTGAGAGGACTAAAAGCAAATGTTCGGTGCTTTAACCGCATTGACGAATATAGAGGATCCACCTAGGGGAGTTGGAAAAACCTTATTCCAAACCAGTAGTGCACATAGACTTCAGAATCCTCAGGGAAAAAATGGAGTGTGAACCTATTGTTGGTCACCAGCTACTATGTGGTTGCATCTCCTAACATTGCTTCACTGTCTTGTGGATTAGACCTTTAGGACAAAGGTTCAGGGAGTAGTCCCCTAGGAAAACCATTTGCTTCGATTTCGGTGCCCAGGTAGTATCTCAGCCCCCACACAAATCCAATGATGAAGCGTGGAACAAATATATTTGGTGTCTCCTTGTACCAATAAAATACCGAACGAAACCACACAATAGTCATATCTATTTTATTTAGCAGCTATATTTGACTTCATATACTAAGAAATATTTGTGGAAATCCTGAACAATCAAAGCAATACAAAGGTTTTAACAACTTGAAGGCGAGAATATAATTTATGGACGAATCAGGTCATGGATTTTGGAGCGACATTCATTCATTCATTTGGTTAAATAGCGTTTCGGCATTTTAGCTTATGTCAGTTTGTGGTGAAAACCATAAATCTAATTCCTAACCCTGACCATCAACTGTAAATCATAATTCTAATTCCTCACACTGGTTTATAACCTTTATTTAATCCTAGTTAGTAAGTGGACATTCCGAAGGTTACTTAAGCATCGTTCAAAGGTCGTAGATAAATTATAGTCTCACCAACTTGGACTATTATGGCTTTCAACAAAATATTTTGTGAAATTGTTCCGAGTTTGGAGGGAGGGTTGGCTTTATCTAATATCTCAAATACTAGCTGATATTCACAATTGATTGATCACTGGGTGGCGATCAATGTCATGCGTGTCTAGTCCTTATTAGTGCAGATCGGTCGCAGCTCGGATAGCTCAGTGGTAACGTCCCTGACTGTGAAGCTGGGTGACAAGAGATCGAATCCGCCAGGGAGCACCAGTTCCCTCAAGATTACAGGTACACCTTGCTGACGAGTGCCAAGTAGCACGAAACTCGGGTCCAGGGTTTCCGGTCGACTGCCTCCAACCACCAACTAACTGATATTTACACTTCCATAATATGAATATACATTTTATTTTTGACAGTTAATCAAAATATTGATATATCAATTATCTAGTTGTAGAAAAGAGAATAATAATAATAATAATAATAATAATAATAATAATAATTACTAGATGTTATGGAGTAAATTTATTACCTCCACTTATACCGCCACTAGTGTGATATTCATTGAGACCTCCATCCATAGCATCACCGGTTGTTTCATTATCTTCATCTAGATCAAACAATGATTTACCAATACCTAGTTCACCTCCCCCACCATGTGATGCATTAATACTATTATTAGTACGTGTTGGTCGTGATACATTGAATCCTGATGTTGTGGAACCATTTGATGATGTAATTTGTGTAATTTTATTTGGTGGTTCAGGATCATCAAAATCTTTAGTGATGTCTGTATCATTTGTATCCTCTTTGTTAGGATCTTGTGGACCAGTTTGACATGAAAATGATTCGTCTTCATCCTTTAAAAATGAAAAGTTAAAAATAAATGCAAATTCTTCTCCACAAGGATCATAATATACAGCTGATTAATCATAGTGTAGGGAACCTTGCATAAATGCGTATTAATGTAAGTTATTAAACCTTAACATTACAATATCAAGAGAGTAAACTAAGTGATGAGAAGTACAAATGAGAAAATAATATCCGTTACGATGGAAAGGCAAAAATGAAACTATTATTACTATTAGCACTCATCAATCAGGTACAAACCCATATACCTGACTTTGAGCCATACTTAAATATGTAAGAACCAATGATACTACTACCCGATTGCCCAAATCCAAGTAGGTGGGGAGGAGTTCGAATTTGTGACGTCGTTGCCGAAAGTCAATCAGTTTAATCACTGAACCACTGTTCCACTTAAAATTGTGTTTAAGAAAAAACAAGGTTAAAGAATGAAAAGCACATTTTTGATGGAGTTTTGTTCTCTGAGCTGGATGGTTTGGTTGTGGAGCTTTCATCGTTCTTCTGAACGACATCATCAGTACAAACTTCAGGTAGAAGTGAAGTGTTCGAATTTCTCCATATGTGTTTCACAGCTTGTTCTGTGCACCTCGATGTTGATTGGTTCTTATTGACCTTGAATTTGTCATTGTTTACTTCTTTGTTTTGGTTGTGTCTCCCATTGGTTTGATTTTTGTTCCTAAATGTGTGCATAATTTTCCCGATTGGTTGGTAAACTAGATTGATTTCAATATGCTTGTTGATTGCTGATTGACCTGAGTGCCAGGTTTCTAAAAATCCCCTGGTGTTTTTGGAGTTTCCTCTGTCTAAGATTTCCACATTTTTCCAATCGAATGAGTGTCCGCAGTTGTCCACGTGCATTGATATGAGTGAGGAGATATCATGGCGTTTGACTACTAATTGATGTTCGTGTAGGCGAAGGTGAAGGGGGCGTCCGCTTTGTCCGATGTAGTGTTTTTCGCAGTTGGCACAATTTATTTTGTAGATGATGTTTGATTTGTTTTCCTTTGTTATTTCATCTTTTGGTTTGCGTAGGATTGATTGTAGTGATTTAGTTGGTTTGTGTGCCACACCTATTCCGAAGGTTTTCAGCAGTCTCGTTGCGGTTTCTGATATTCCTTGTATGTATGGTAGGGTGATCCTTTTGTTGATTTCTCTGCTTGACTTGGATTCTGATGCTGCGTGCGGTTGGTATTTTTTGATGAAGTTGATTGGTGAAAAGCACAAATTGATGCAGAGTATGTGCAATTGATATACTGAGTAATTACCCAAGTATCACTGAAAAAATAGTCACATGATAGTTGAAATTGTGAACATTTCAACTGTTATAACTCTGTTTTCTTACGGTTATGCCCCAGCTATTCCTATTGCTTAGTATTCTCGGACACCGATTCACTCGACAAGTCCCCAAATCAGAACACGGTTGAACAGGAAAGAGATTATATTCCAAATAGCAAGTCAGAAGCACAATAGGGAAAACGTCGGTATATTTATAGTTTTTACATAAGAAGATTCCAGAGTATCCTCCGACTATCGATTAGTGCTGATTGGATAAGAATCAGCCAATCAGCGTGCACCAAAGCAATCATGCATTGAGCATGCTTTAATCTAGTCTATGTCCCGCTAACACCTCCCCTCTGAGCAGATTCGTAGGATCTGGTGCTAGGGTCCAACTGCAACTGAGTGACTGGCTTGTGCTCTCGATTAGTCCATCGTCTAAGCAATAAAGAATTATCACTTTTTTATTGCAGAGACTGACGTGTCTGTTCCCGGCGTTTTGATTTTTTTTTAAAAAAAAGTACGCATAACTTTTAATTCTCCAACATTCTCCTCCTCCGCGAAACAATGTCGGATCCTTATATCTCCAAGTTACAAATAATAGGACTTTCTTTAAACGATGTCTCTTGCATTGAATGTCGGACTCACTAGAAATGACTAGATGATAATGAACGACCTTTGATTTGAGGTCAGGGTTTAATTCTTCTGAAGCATTACTTTCAAATCCATTAGGAATTTCATCAAAATTACATGCATTATTCTGAGAACCCATATCTGACACACTGTCATTAGAAATCGGATAAGCTGATTCAGTATAAATTTCTGTCTCACAATGATTTTGAGTAACATTCGGTATATTTGGGTTCATCGTGTCACTGCAGTTGTTTTCTGAATACGAGTCCCCATAGCTTTTTCGGCTAATATCACGTGGACCATAATTTTGTTCTAGCTGAAGTTTATTTTCAGAGCTAGACAGGACCAGTAGTGTTTTATTCAATTCTGGACTCCGGGCTTCATCTACAGGGTCTGGCTCTTGATCATTTCGTATTGCCACAACTTTATGAGCATTCAGCACAGTATTTTCTTGCTGTGAGCCGGACACGTTACAAATATTGCGTTCTGATTCAGGTATAAAGGGATTTGAACCCTCCACTAGATATGCTTCTGAAATGTCTGTTACTGCATCATAAACAGATTTCTTATTTTCTGGTCGAGTGAAAAGTGTGCTCAATAGTTGTTGTTGCAAGGCTAACAACTTCTGCTGGTGCTGTAATATTAACCGCGACTGTTCTAAAGAAATCGCCATTTTTCTTAAGTTTTTTCCCGTCGCCACTGTTATAATCTCTTTCTTCTTACCGGTTATGCCCCAGCTATTCCTATTGCTTAGTATTCTCGGACACCGATTCACTCGACAAGTCCCCAAATCAGAACACGGTTGAACAGGAAAGAGATTATATTCCAAATAGCAAGTCAGAAGCACAATAGGGAAAACGTCGGTATATTTATAGTTTTTACATAAGAAGATTCCAGAGTATCCTCCGACTATCGATTAGTGCTGATTGGATAAGAATCAGCCAATCAGCGTGCACCAAAGCAATCATGCATTGAGCATGCTTTAATCTAGTCTATGTCCCGCTAACATCAACATACTAATTCTTCATACAAACATAAGTAGTGGGTTTATCAAGAATCATTGAAACATGAAACAATTGCCAATAGTACAATTCTAAATTTAATAAAGAAATAACTGATTCAATAAATGGTTAGATGGTATCTTTAAAATTTTATTGATCTATCAACACTTAAACAATGTAACAAACATAAGGAGTAAGAGATGTGTGACAACAAATGTTGGCTAAATTAAATAAATCAAGTACCGGTGATATGAATTTGTAGATTTATAGTACACCATTATATCTTCTGCCAGGGAAGTCCTACTCACTAACTTCATGAAGCAGATGAGATACTTACAAAAATGAGAGGACGAAAAGCGAACTTTTGATACTTAAACCAGGTCAGTGAATATAGAGAATCTATATATAGGGGATTTGGAAAATCCTGATTCTAAATCAATGGAGCTCATAGGCTCCAGGATCTTGAGAGAACATATTTCCGGTCGCGGGTTATCATAAGACAATATCTGGTGTTATAAATAAAAATAATATATTTGTAATATCCAAATTTGGTTATTTATTCTCTGAAGAAGTGACTTACACTAAGTCACGAAACGTCAGAAAATTCAATTTTCTACTCATTGGGATATTACAAATATATTATTTTTATTTATAACAATCAACCCAATGCTCAATTTATTCGAAATTATCAAATCAAACCTTGGTAATGACACCTAAAAATATCTGGTGTTGTTTCGAGGCCTTGGAAACTAGACCTCTGGGTCGAAGTCTTGGCAAGTGCTCCCCTAAGGAAACCACATACTTAGTTCAGAGCATCCGGTTAGTATCAAAACACACACAGACAGCTTATTTCGTTAAGATTATTCTATTTTTGATCTTAATTGTATCAGATTTTATGTGAATTAAATTAAAAAATCGTTAATATTTAGTTCAAAAAAGTTATTTGTCTTGATAAGAGAGTATAGATAATTAAATTATAGAAACACCTGGCTTTGGATTTCATCGGTTTAAGCATCTATACACTAATTACACGCCCTACTGTGTGTTAGATACATTTTGAGCGACCACAGTGATGAGTTAATCCAATATTGACACAAGGTTGATAACTAAGTCTTATTAGACAGATGGATTCTATTTGAGTTGCTAAACAAAGCCATATTGGTGGCTTATAAAACAAACTTTTATTTAGTGGCTCTTGAATTCCTGGCTACATAGAGTCCTTGTATTATTGCTGTCAGTTTGTGATGAAAACCGTAAAACTAATTTCTTATTCTAACTTGAAAATCTTAAGGCTTAATCTTGATAACTAACACTGATTTCCAACCCTATTTCCAGTCAGGTAAGTGGTTGAGATTCCGCGTGATCACTTTTGAAATCACCCAAAGTTATCCCAGTACTTTAGTTCCATACAACTACTTACTACATAGTCCGAAGTAAATATCGTCAAAGAAATGTAAAAACCAACTTATGAACTTAGTAGTACTGTATAAATTTCAAAATTTGCGAAACTGGATGATTAAATCATTAACAAATTGTTTTCGACAATCAAAAACGAACCTCTTTTCGAATTTTACGAGATCCGCCATGACTACTTGGCCCACGACTTGAACGTTCATGTGAACCAGTAAATGATGAACCAGGGCGTCTTTTCTTACCGCTAACATTTGGCATAGTTGAGTCAAATGCTGACGGAGAAGGCGATCTACGACGTTTCTTTTTACTTCCACTATCTGTATGAGAAGTTGGTGTAAATGAGCCAGTATAATGTGCAGAAGAATTGTTAGTAACAGCTGTCGTCGATGTATTTGTAGTCATGAATTCTTCAGCTTGAAAATAAAGCGAAATAAAACTGTAATAAAATACGAATGAATTTCATACGATGGATTACATACTGAGGATGGCTAAATATAGCTATCGATGCATGGGAACTTTCATAAGTGCTCGCAAACTGGAATAAAATATTAACAGTATAGTGGAAGGAATTTATGAACAACGACTGAAAAAAAAACATGGCATAGTTAAGAGCAATTTAATTTAGTGCATAAACCTTTTATTAAAAACCAATATTTTTGACTGAATCTTGTCTTCAAATACACACAAATTCAAGTAGTTCTGGCATATCAGGTGAAATGAATAACTCAAGTGTTAATAATTGTTAAATCCATTAGAAATCAATAATTCACCCTAAAATTACTGGAGAGGTAGAAAAACATCCTGTTCTGCGTAGGAATTACAAGCTGTTAGTAGAATATCAAGTTAATAAACAACTGTTTTTAGCATTTCATTTTATATGAACTAACTCTCTTTGTAAAGCGTTACAGTCAGCTAGTCATTAACAATATGGAGTCTGGGTACAGATATGCGCTGACACACACTGCAACATCATATTAGCACAATTAAATGAAATCGACAAGACGAACTATAAAAGAGATCAGAATAGTGTTGTAGGAATAACAATGAGAAAAACTAGGCATTGAGAATATGTTTTAAAAAGACTGAATGCAAAGGTATGTACAAAAAAATACTGGGATTCCAGATCTGAAGGAGAATAAAAAAATGAATGCATTTACATCTCTGTGTTCAATTTTGAGTCACATCATCCAAAGTCTCCAACCACTAATCACAGTTATCATGCAGACCCAAACCAGGTAGTCTGCTTTTACCTACGTGGCTTGGACCAACAGTTAATGACTTTATGAATTGATGACACACTTCGGTTTTGACACTCGTAACTTTCTTCCAACGTGTCCCCATACCAGTAAATATAGCCAGTCAAGGTAGGTGGTAGTTAGTAAACGTAATGAATGTTCTAACCACCTCAATCTGTTAAGATTCATAGCTTTATCAACTGACTTGTCACATTTGTCTAGTACTGTAGCGGGCGCTACTCACAGGATTGTTTGCAAGTAGTGTATAGGGGAGCATGACTTTAAAGTTGCTACAACTGTCAGACAGAGTGAACAGTTTCAGTGCATCGAAAGCACGAAGTTGGGGGAATAATTGGAGACCAAATGAAAAGACATATGCGCCACACAAATCTCATTCGATATGTGTGGGGGCTGTGATACTGCTCGGGTGCCCAAAACGAATCAGGTGGTTTTCTTAGGGGGCCACTCCCCGAGCCTTCGACCTGAAGGTCTGATCCACAAGGCAGTGGAGCATCGTAAGGAGATGCGGTCCCATGGAAGCCGGTGACCAACGATTGGTTCATACGCCATTTGTTCCCTCAGGATACTGGAGCCCATGTGCACCATCAGTTTGGAATCCGGTTAAAGCACCGGACATTCGCTTTTCGTCCTCTCATTTTTGTAAACAACACCCACGCCACGAGAATGCAGTGAGTAGGACTTCCCTGGCAGAGGCTATATACGCGTGGCCATGTGAGAGCATTTGGAGAGGGACAGCGGACTCTCCCCATTCTCGGCCGTACCAGGGCATTTGGGGACTAGCATTATGGAAATCCCTTAGGATTCGATGAACAAATTTTCGTTTGTCAAAATCAACGAGTAGAATGCTTATCGACAAATGAACGGAACGATATGATGTCGCTGATAGATGACTGCGAATGAGAACGAATTATGGATGCAGGCCCCCGAATAATTCAAAATCAAAGACAGGACCATCAGTAAGAAGAATAGCTTTCTTTTGTGACAAAGTGACATGGTTAATACAAAAAAACAATTCAAGATAAACATGGCAAAATGTCGTAAACGACTAGAAAAGACCATTTTAAAGGTTAATCACTCCCCAGTCAATTAGGACCTAATTGTTAGGTCTAATTCTTGAACATCGTGTCAATATGTGAATTTTGCTAAAAATCTAAGATAAAACTGAAAAAGAAATGGTAAAGGTGAACTAGAAGGGTGAGGTTTAAGATAATTGAGTGACATATGAAAACTTAACACACTCAGCTAATCAGAGTACAGTGAATACGAGTGACCAATTTATAATGCTAGGACTAGGAACTGGGTTTAGTATTATGGTCTAGAACTAAGATTTAGGGTTAGGATCAAGAGGTAGTGCTAGTGATTCAGGGTTGAGATTAAGACAAAGAGTTAAGAATTTAGGATTAGAACTACGATGTAGAGTTAACGGTTTAAGCTTTCTATGGACATGCTGGTAATTGAGATGATTATGTATTTTCCTGTAAGAAATCTTTAGTCGAAAAACCTAATATTCGAATCATACTCGTTTCAAATTGATGCTCGGACAAATAATGCCATTCAATGACTATCTTAAGTTCACTTTTACTTTTGCCTTAACAACATTGCTTACAACAAGATGTGGAAATCACATGTTTATACTGACTTCATTATGAAAGAGGCGTACAAAAAAGACGAAAATATCCAAATCATTCAGAATTTATTAAAAGTGACTCTTTTCACAATCATGAATGCAACTGTTTTTCCGACAACACATTGTTTTTTAGAAGGATGAAAATATGTATGAGGAAAATTAATTTAGAAGTTCGTTAAAATGATTATGACAAAATAGAAATGATCTATCATCAACAACTTACGTGAGTATGTTGGTCTTGGTTTCACAGAAGACGTTGGCACTAAAAAATCTTCTTCAACCATCCATTCATACATTTCGTCTGAATACAGAAGCCAACGAGCATCTACATCCCATTGATTTTCATTTTCGAGATATGAGGTTTCAGTATCACTGGACCATTCAGATTGCAGACCTTTAGTCCCAAGGAAATAAACAAGTTATATATGTTGTTTTGAAAGGAAACTTTTTAAAGGGTTCAGTACATAAGGAATTAAGTGGTAATCAAGTTATTTTTATGTTCCACTACGAATAACAGATGGAGGAAAAAAAATACTTGGTGATATTTTAAAGCCACACCAATAGAAAGATATAATTATGGGGTGAACTTAAAATGTAACAGAGCGAATAAAAGTACTAATTTAGAAAGGATACTTAAGAACGGAAATGTGTTGTTTTATCTTTGGAATACTGTGTCTAACTACTGAAGGGATAGGCATATGCAAAGCTTATAGCGTTTCATCATCTTACCTGTATACCATGTAGTATATGAAGCGGGTGAGTATAACCAGTGCAAAAGTACTCCTCGACCTTCATGGAACAAAACTCGGAAACGTTGAACCAGAAAGTCATCTCGACTATCACCAGGCCAATTCAGGGGAGGTTGATGTAGAATATGTGTAGCCTCAGAAGGTGACTCGACAACAGAGATATTTAATCGTTTTGCAGATTCCCTTAGTTTTGAATTTAAGGTCTGTTTTTGAAAAAGTGAAATGATAGTTTCAAAAAACAAAAATATCCCTCAAGGTATATGGAAAAAATTTGCAACAATTTGATATGGGTTTGATATTTAAAATATTAATACAATGTTTTAGGTAAGTAGTTTTCAAGAATGAAGATCTTGTTTAAAACTTGATTTGATCACTTTCGTCTGGAAAGCTAAATAACCTCCTCTGCTTTTTATGAAAGTGTCCTATACTCTTTTCTAGATTGCTGATCAGGATCTTCCGCAACAAACATAACACATTTCTTAGTTAGCAACTGTCTTTTAGCTTCTTTTTGTCAAAATGGGAAAGTGAAGACATGTTTGACACTGAATATATAGGAACTGAGGTTCGTTTAAAAAAATTCAGAAACTTACGATTTATCAGGTTAAATGAAGTATGTTTTAAAACAGCGAGACAAATAGTTTATGACTTTGTACTAAAAAGCAACTGTCACTACTTGTTAGCGGGACATAGACTAGACTAAAGCATGCTCAATGCATGATTGCTTTGGTGCACGCTGATTGGCTAATTCTTATCCAATCAGCGCCAGTCGATAGTTGGAGAATATTCTGGATTCTTCTTATGTAAAAACTATAAATATACCGACGTTTTCCCCTATTGTGCTTCTTACTGGCTTCTGACTTGCTAATTGGAATATAATCTCTTTCCTGTTCAACCGTGTTCTGATTTGGGGACTTGTCGAGTGATTCGGTGTCCGAGAATACTAAGCAATAGGAATAGCTGGGTCAAGAACCGTAAGAAAACAGAGTTATAACACTACTACACCATGGACACAGCTTTTGGAAATAATCTGACAAAATAATCGCTTTCATTAATTTATATCTAATGAATATTTGACCCGAAATAAACTACAAACCCCTACGGCTGGAAGCTATAATAAAGCTTTCTTAAGTTGTTGATAGATAATAATACTATATATCAATAAAAAAATTATTTTGCTTTGTGATGAGACTACAAATGACACAGTAGAGAGACTTGGTAGTGATTCCATGAATTTATATGACTTCCAATCGTTAACAGATTAGTGAGGGACTGATAGAAAACAGCGATATATGTACTACGACTTTCCGGGTACAACTGTAAGGTTATAAGAGATAATTCGTCGTTATTGTTAACGTTGTAGTATTCCTTAGAGTTCTCAACTTGTCTCTAAAATGAGCTGGACTGGACGATAGTAATGGACAAACGAAAGTATACGACTGGCGCTTCTGTTGTGTCTACCTGGATAATTCTGTAGTATAGGTCAAATATCCGTCGACTCGCTGTTTTCCAAAACAAAGATCTTAGATTAGTAGTCGTACCGAGTGTAATAACCAAGCATCACACTAAAATAAACTTAATTTGACTGATAGTTAATAACTAAATATTCGATAAAAGTTGAGTGAACTTATAAGCTAACTACGTAAATTAAATTACTTGTGTTGACATATGGATTGTATAATAAACGTTGACGTGGTCCGTCGACAAATCCCAGACGGTTATAATTATCGCTGTTTGGTCGACAAGCCGTCCATTTTGAGAATTCCGTTCAATAGCAGATGAAGGTGCTTGGGGCATGACTCAAAGAAATGGGATAACTAATGTTGAATCTAATTGAATGACTAGAAACAACCTGAAGAACTTAGAATATACGAATGATGTTGTCCTGCTAAAAATAATGACGAAATGATTTGTTTATCTGTCTCCCGACCGAAGCTGCTACCTTGATGCGGTGGTCGGGCTTACCTATCGTGATGACCCAACCGAGCTATATTGGCTGGAACATATGTTTTCGTAGGTTCTACCATGCCAGGCAGGTCGATTGGAGAACGGTAAGACTAAAAGCAGCAACTCAAGGTCTGAGGGCGAAGTCGTACTGCTGACTGTAGAGGGGTGTGACAACAGTAAGGTGTTTCCCTCAGACAACCAGCATCTGCAGCGATGCTGCCTTCCCACAAGGAGGGGTGGGGTTGGAAAAGGTTGACCCTAAAAGTGTAACACCTCACCTTACCTCACGGATTTCCGTCTCCGGCGGTAAGGCCCTTTGAAGAACGGAGCTAACACATTAAAAACCTCCCACGAAAAGGCCGTGCGCGACCGGCCTCAAGCAGTTGTCCCTTGGGCTTTGCGGTCACGCTCCCAGATCGTTAAGACCAACACTAATCCAATTTCCTTTGCAGGTCCCTCAAGAAATACCTTTCCACGGTGTGGGCAGCCGGGAAGTGATATCAGCCCTCATACTCTTAACAGAAAATGAGACCAAGTTGGTCACATTCAAATCCTTCCTACACCTAATACCTCTCTTATCTCCATGACTAACCCTTCTCACGTCTCTTTATCACCTCGCACCGCTAGGGCAAACGATTCAAGTACGCGGAGGGTTACTCCTGGTCTCCTGAAACCACGCTCATGGCTCAAAATCGTTTGCAATGGCGCAGGTGCATACACTCTTTGTGTTCTTCCAAATTTTGATCTCCTTATTCCTCCTTGTCTCCTTTTTTCTCTTCTCAAGTTTATTTCACTGTATTATACTCTTTAAATAACATCTCCAAACACTAATTTTTCCGATTACTGCTTATACTCTTATTACCTCTACCACTACGAGATTTGAATCAACCACTGTATCTCTGTGCTAATGTGGTGTGGCAACTCGAACTGATGTACGTACGTACGAAGTTCTACGTTGTTACTGACTGACTCACTGTTTATCAGTCGAGAAAATATCTGGCATTCACTTTATGTTCATGAAAGTGGGTCAGTAAGACATCTAAGACAGATGACTAAGCTCTGTAAGGTTAGTTCTTGGTAAAATCCCCAGGACAAGGACAAAACACTTTGTATTAAGTATTCGTGATCACAAAGTATTCCACAATAACTGAATAACCATTAACAGAACGAGTGGAGTCTAATGACAAAGAAAAGATGTCTGCAGTGTGTTGTATCATTTAATAGTTGAGGGCCAATAATTTGATAGAAATAATCCAGTATAAAAACATTGTGAGTTTTAGACGTAGGATTTGGCGGATACAAACCGTATTATAATGTTAGGATAATGTGAATTAGTGGGTTCTACTGCATTATATTTGACATTTAAAGGTAAATAACATAATGCTAGATCGAACCGTTTTCAGAATTACTCGAATCTGGAAAGAAAACCAAGTGATTGTGTGTTTAAATCCAAGTAAATTAAATTTTGTCCAAATTAACTTGGAGCAGAAGTGATGAGACTATAATTACGGACGACCTTTGAGAGATGCTAAGCTGAACTTGAGAAAATTGACCTACTTGATATGGTTATGTTAGTGTGGTGACTTATGATTTAAGGTTGGAAGTTGAGGTTAAGAATCAGAGTCGGATCTTCTTACCAAGAACTGACCAGCAATAATGCTATTTAGCCATATGAATGAGTAAATTTCGCGCTGAAATCCACGATTTAATATCTTAAATATGATTTGTTTGTTTGCAAATTATAGTCTCATCACAGAAGCTTTGCACTAACTTAAGCATTCAAAACATTTTGAGTACGATTGATTATTATCTGCTTTTATGTACTATGTTGCGACGAATAGTTTAGATAATAGCATTAGTAATCAATGCTGTTTTCAGCAACTAGTGATTTTCACAAATTGACAGGAAAAATCAAACTTAAGGCGTCTGTAAAAAATAAACACTTAAACTTTTTTGCAACAATAGGTTATAGTGATTCGCTAGATTCGGAACAAGTGAAGGATTCTTATGAAATATTATTCGTGGGTAAGGACTGCAAATTTCAGAGATGTACCGTGTGTATAACGTGAAGTCTTAACACTCCCACACATCTAAGTAACACACAGCACCCGGATAAAAGTAAGTATTACTAATAAACAAGTAGCTACAAAAGAACAGCTCAACCAACCTTTTCAACCAACGGGGAAATGTAAACAACTGGTTTCTCCATGCACTTGTAGGTTAGTAGTTCACGTTCGATAACTGAGAACATTTCCAGATGTTTCTCGGTTCTGGAGGATGAAGTAAGGTCTATTTTTTTCCAATTATTCTCGTGACGGAACTTTAGACACGTTAGGAATATGTGGCATAAACCACCACCAGGTTTGAAATCCATGAAGCATTTAAAAGGTATTTTCATAAAAGTCCTCGACTTTAAAAAAATTAAATCAGAGGGTTGATGAAATGACTTACAGTACTTGTGAAATTGGTTTCCTGAAACTGTAGCAATTGAAAACACAGAGTAGCTAGACTCTTATTCGTAGGAGGCTCAGTTTGTGTATACTTTTTGTGATTTCTTGTCAACCAGATTCTCACTGGGTCAAAAGTAGCAATAATTTCTGGATTTTCATAAAAGCGGGTAGACGGATTGCCGTCTTTAGCCCGAGTAAGTCCCATTTTGGTTACACAAAGCTTAACTTCAAATTCTGCGCGCCAAACACTAGCTCAATTTCAGTTCATAAGTAGTTAAATGCCTCAATATTTGATGAAAGCTCACGGTCTTAAATTGTTGCTGGTAGAACAAAGTAGAGGTGGGTTTCAGTTGCTTTCGGTTGTTAACTCGGACTTAAATAAATAATCTTGCAAAGGAAATAACTGTTGTAAGATACTATGCTGTATCTTCGCGAAAATATCACCTAATCGCTTAAAATTGCTTGAATCAGCCTAAAATTCATCACATACCAACGCTAGCTTACTCTTACAGGTTAGAAGTTGTGCACACAGCATAACCGATCATAAGGTTAGTAATACTACTAGACTCCACTAAGGGTTTATCATTTGACGTAACGACTTGGTAAAAATCAAATAATTTTTTTTCACTCCGTCTTGGAGTTAGAAAAAAATCTTAAATCTTTGGCAAAATCAAGTACAATAGTACATAAACGCAGTTCAAGTCCAAGTAACAAGAGGCATGATAAAATAAGAAGAAACAAATCAATATGAAGTAATTCGATTCACAACATCATCTAAAATCAAAGAAGAAAAAGGAAGAGGTGTCTCTGGATACAGTGAATGTAGCACTACTAGATGGAATAATATCTTGTCCGCCATGTTTAATCACTCGAAAAAAGTTTCGGCAGTGAAAGATACATACTTTGCTATAGGTGAGAATGTTCCTGTCAAAATGTTGACAACTGGAAAGTCCGCCGGGGCAAATCCAGCTTCAATCTCAGAAACCTTTAGTTCTTCAGAGATGCATAAATAATCGTTAAGTTTTCGTTTAGCAGCCCTAACACAAAATTGATTTAGTAAGTTGAACAGTTTGCCTTTTCGGTTTTTCCACTTCACATGGTAGCGTTTCATCTTTTGTAATTTTCTTATTGTAACCGAATACTCTGGTTAAACAGACTTTTATTTCCTCGGCTAAATCATAGTTATCTATAAAAAATGAATTTACAGTGATTACAACTTACCACAGCGATGCAGTACAGTTCATTTTCTCAAAGTGAAGCGACTATCACAGTCGAAACTATCAATAATATCCTTAGCAGTCACATCATCACGATGAATAAAATGGTCGTTGTTCAGCAGTCATTCTTTAGGAATGCACAGGACTCGCTTCTTTTCCCTATAATTAACCAATATGTATTTTCCTGGTTGATGTTGTAAATCAATGCCGAGGCGTTAAAAATTGAAAATTTGTTACATTCATGAGAATTCATTAAAACATCCTGATGAACGAGGCCAAAGCACTAACCAACAGACACTTACTACATAAAGTACTATATTTGCGACAGCCATTGAGAAATGATGTCACATTTCCTATTGGATTGTATGCAAAAAAGGAATAATATCCTCATAACTTTGTGTCCGTATGCAAATGCACTTGCAAAGTATGTCTGTCAGTGTAATCCACTTACATTCGTGGCTTAAGGTAGAATACTTGAATATGTCTATATTACTGGAGAGAAATGAGTCAGTAAAAAATCCAACGGGTTATGGAATGCCCCAAACCTAATCCTTCTTCCATCAGTAATTTGTGTTACCAACCCCGGTTTCCAGTTGGCGATAACTACGTTGTCAGGTCTGGTGTTTGTTAGCTTTGGGTTTCTGCAAGTGATGATTTCCTTGGTTGAATCATAACTTACATCAGGCTCAGTCAGATTGTCAGCCATATCCTGATCCAGTATGCCTTGAAAGTAAACTTCTTCGACATATCGCCGTGTAGCTTGTTCAGCCGCAGCAAATCCGCAGTGTAGTGAACGCCTTATTTTCCTCATGTATGATTCAAAAGAAAAGGCAGAGAACTACTCTTAACTTCCATGTTCTATAACGTCCTCTTCAATGTGCTTTAAACTATGCACAGTATAAATTCAGTGATTGCTACCGTAACAGTTTTTGTAACCTAGTAAGAAGTTGTTCACATAAACCCGAACACTGTCTGTAAGATTTATTTTGAAGGTTTTATGTGTTGGTGAAAATCCCTCCATGTATATACTTACACCTTGTTCCTATTGATTCTTTTAGTTGTACATTGTTAACTTTTTGACTACATTTGAATTGTTAATATTTGTATGTTATTATAGCTTCGTTTTTACTACACCTTCACCAATTCCCCATGTTTCTTCCCGAACTGCACTTATGTTGTTTTACTTTATACTAAGTCTGGGCGGCAGCCATTTTGGTTTATCCCTGCTTTTGATTGCTTGACCTGTGTTGACTGGAATTGTGCATTTTGGTTGTGAATTGAAGCACTCTTCCAGAATCGAAAACACTCTGTGTTATAGAGCGACCAATTATTACCTTTTGAACGAATCTGTACGTGATCTATCCAGACAGGATAGAATAACATTTATTTGTGGTGATTGGTAATTTTCTTGCATCTTCTATCAACTTCTTTATTTATTGTAATTTAGATTTAATTGATTGAACAATCATTGGTTGAATAGCCGGGTGATAATATTTGTTTAGGTAATGATTTACATTAAATTTATTATGAATTATAGAACCGCTAGTTACCCGATTACTTGTTCTGATTTCGACGGGAAAGGGCGCGTGTCTAAAACCCCCTGTCGGCTATTCTTCAACATCCAAACCGTAGTTTGGATCCTACACTGTCCGCGAATACGGTTTGCAACTTAGGGTGCGATAATAAATATATTGACAAGGACAGACCCGGGAAGTTTCTGTATGTTGGTAGTGGTAACCTCGCGTGAAGAGCTACAGGGCTTAAGTATAATAAGAACAACCGACATTCAGTTGCTTTTCATACAGAAACTTCATGTAGTGAACGACATTTCCTTGGAAAGTCGCATGTAGTGTGCTGTCTACATAAGTCTAGCGCCACATTTATGGATACGAAAATTGATAGATCCTTCCATAAGGAAATAATTTTTTAGTGATACCTAAGTATATCATATGCATTGGTTCAGACGGGAAGCATGTTATCATATCCAGCGGCGGATTTTCAAATGAAATTCAACCGTGATGATGGATAGATTGGGACCTACTACGAAAAGTGACGTCACTTCCCAATTCGTGTTCACCATTGGCGAAAGTCATTTGATCACCCATTCGTGTCCTTAAAACCTAACATTTATCACATTTATCACCGTTGTGTCGAACAACATACCTGACGTAACTGGAGTTTCACTAATAACAGCGACTAATTTAACCATTAAATGTACCTGACACTTATCAACATAAATATCTACTGTCAGCAACTCTTGTAACTCGGTTATAAGTGCTGGTGACACGTCGTTGAAATCATATAGTTTCACTCCACCGCCATAGACCTCACCTATGAATACATTACTAACTAATGGATCTGTTATGCGGCCTAGGATCGGCCACAGCTGTTAGCTAGAGCTTTTGAACAAGCTTAGACCGTCGTAGTTCAACTGCAGCTTCAATTCTGTGAAACAGATTCGACGTAGCCAATTTTCGGAAATCCTCAGCGCACTTCATTTTAATCCCAAATAACAGTATATTTTCCTTCTCACTCTTCTATTTGTATTTATCAAGTTTTTGATATCACAAAATGTAACCAATTCACCACTTAGTTATGACTAACCTGTTAGATGTAGGATTTAACTGTTGTCTCGCAAAGATTCTGAATTTCACTTAACTCTAAACTGCTATATGATTCTACACTGTTTTTTGAAATCGTTGATAAGGATAAATGATTATTAGGAACACCGGACTTAATAGAATCAGAATTAAAGACTTAATATTCGTTGCAGTAAGATGAAGAGTAGTATTACAAACTGACTGAATATGTCCATTATCACCACATTTAAAGCACTTAGAATTACGAAATTTACATGAATTAAAAGAGTGGTACTTGCCACAGGACAAACACTGACCAAACTTGTGCTCATCTTCGTGAAATGCTTTGCAACTCCTCAATGAATTATGTGCATAGCCTTGAGTATGCACTGGGTTGGGATGATGTAGTAATGTAGTGGAATTTTTGATATCATTATCAATCATTTTACAAAATCTTCCTCCTTTACCACATTCGAAATTTGTATACTGAACATAGTCTAGCAGCAGATCCTTGGGAATTGTATAAGAAAACGAAACGGGCTTTTCCGGTAAAGCCAGAGTTCTTAATAAGCTACATGCTTCTTTTCCGATAAATGTGAGGAAATGTGCCACAATATTAAAATCCTCATCATCTTCCTTGGTCATAGCCCAGACTTCGAACCTTTCAAAGTAATCCTCCAAAGTATCAAAATCTGAATGTACATTCAACGATTCCATTACAGGCTCCATCGCGACGCCAATGTGATAATTTGGAGTATTTGAATTATAGTATGAACTAAGAATCCCAGAAATAACGTAATGGAGTTAAGAAGTACTAGATAAGCACGAACGAATGTACTGCATTTGTAACTCGAAATCAACTATTCAACAAGTACAAAGGTATCATTAGTTCATTCAAACACCACAAAAATGCAATTGAATTCTAATATTCTAGTATGGGTCAGATGTTTATCTTTCAGGGATTCGAAGTTGTTGATACTGTCTATATTCTGCAATTTTCTTCTGGTTTTTCATCATCATGAAAGTAGCATAGATAGCGTACTTTAACAGACTTGAGCCCGAAAGACGCTATACATCCTAACGTTACCTTTGACCGTTCTAGCAAGCAATTTTGCGTGAAGCCAGTAACGTCTTTACAGGTTCAGTGCTTGCGAGAAAATGGATGTCTGGATGTTGCCATTACAGCAGTTACGAAAAGAACAGTTGGTCAAGACAAATGTACCTAGTGCATGGTTGTCCTACCTTGGTATTATTATAATTGTCAGATATACGATTGTGGTTGTCTACCAACAAGATGAAGACGCAGTCCATATCCTTGAAAGTGTTTAAATATTCCAGCGCATTAATGGGAAAGTAGATATTTCCGGCTATTGGTAAGAGACAAACGAGGTCACTTAAGACTCAAAAGACGCTCGTTCGAAGTGTACTCTGTACTGTCTGTTATTTCAGTATATATGCTTTGGTAGGCACACATTAATCAATAAATGCTGTTAGAGATGTTGGGAAAAGAGGATTAGTCTATTTCCATTTGTTTGAACAAGCAGTTTATTTCATTTCAAATGATCACCCTCGTTACTGGATAATTGACTTTTAGTTCGGCATTTACTCCATAGTTAAATGATCTAGTTGTTTTAGCACCCTTGACGCTAAGATCTAAAAAGTAAGTTTTATTTTAGACTGTAACATAGTTGATAGGTTTATTAGTTTAAGCACACTTATCGATCAGTCTCTGTAGACATACATTTCAATCAAGATAATGAATGAATCAACGTCAGACCACCATTGAAATCCTGGAGGCACTAGACGGCCGTTTTTCCACAGTATGGGACGTGCATCCACAGTCCTGAACTCGGGGTCCAAACCCAGAACATTCAGTCTCGTAGATTGACCGAAGTTAGACATCAACACCGTTGGGTGCCGGCCCACTGGTCTAGACACTAAACGTCCGCGCGCGAGACCAAAGGTCTCGGGTTCGAACCCCGAGCGCGAGTTTGTGAATGGGCACTGTTAGGGGATCCCATTCTAGTGCAAAGAGGCCACCCAGCATTTCCAGGCTTTCAACGGTGGTCTAACATTGATCCATTCCTCATATCAATCAAAACTCAACAATCTCCACAACCCTATACTGGTACTTTTCATTGCTGATATATTCTGATGACCGAAAGTTCTAGTTTCTCCTTTGTATTGAGTTTATAATCATGATGGAAAAGGTTTTTTACGATCCCCCTTTTATGGCGTGTTAGGGAGATATTTTTAGGCGATCCATACTTGTTTTATCCTTTGATGTTGTAGCCGACAAATGTCTTCCAGATACTCAGAACACAAAATAAGTAATAACACCTGATACATTTCATCGCAGCAACTAAAATTGTCTTGTATTCCAAGTGTTTCCATGTATAACGAAGTGATAATATTATCAGATTACTATTCTAATAAGAAGACTAACATGAAATTACTCTTAGTGCAGACTGAAAAGTCCAAAAACTTTTAGAATATGAAAACTATCTTACTTTCAGTACATATGAAGATATTTCGTAACTGTTTCATCGTAAGACAATATTTTATATAAGAATCATCACAAAGAATGACAAAAGCAATTATATTCAAATGGCAATATCTATCTGAATTCTATTGAATATATAAAACTTAATTTAATTAGGTTTCTACACATTATTCTGTATGAAAACTCAACAGTAATAATTCTCGCCAAATGAAATCCCGATCCGTTTTCCTCGATGCTTCTAATAAGCACAGTACATACATACACGGCAACTTGAATGCGATAGAAACGGTACTAATTGAGAATAGGACCCTCTACTTCAGGATTAGTCAGTGTACAGAATAACGAGGATGTTTAGCCAGATTACTGGGTTTGTTAAAGTAAATAATTTGCTGACCAAAAGAGATTCGATTTATACTACCTGTCGGCGAGACTGTAATTTATGAACGAACTAATCACGTATAAGATAACAGGCAAGGGATTTTGGAACGAAGTTCACTCATTCATTTGGATAAATAGCGTCTTGGCATTTTAGCTGATGTCAATTCGTGATAAAAAAAATTCCTACCCTAAATCATCAACTGCAAACTATAATTCCTCACACACTAGTTTATAACCCTCATTCGGTCCTTGTTATTAGGTGGACACTCAAGGTCAGTCTAGCGTCGCTAAAAAGGTCATCCATGGATTATAGCCTCACTAAAACAACCCTAAAATTAAGTCTAAATTTGTGGTTGAGAAGTCTTTAATTAAGCATTGTGCATCCATATACATTCTCGGAAATGGTATTACACGATGAGTAAGTGAAAGATATGTTAACCGTAGTTAACTTCAGTAATGGGATCAAAATTTGGTACATACGTTGTAGGAACAAAATATTTGCTAACGAGCATAAAGATAAACGGGAAAGAATATGAAAGTAGTTCATCTGTTTAACTTCAGTAAGATTTTATATGGAGTTGAGGTTTTCAAAGACGCTTTTCACTACATTCTTTTTACTACTAATATTGTCAAGATCTATCCTCAGTTAGGAAAAAAATGTTTACGGGTGATAAGAAAGGTTACTGTTGTCTAGGCAGATCCAGATATTATGCCGAATTAGTTTGTCAAAGACTTCGATTCATAGACTCTATAACAGGGACTTACAGCAACAACGTGTATTTACAGATAGGTAAATACATATGAGATGATTTGAAGCATGAGTATGTTTCTAAAGCGAGTGCTCTTCCATTTTAAGACAACAGGCAACTAATCTTGGAGAAATTTAGTACATGAAATATAAATAATTCTGTGATACTTGTACGAACTAATGATTCCGTTGTACTTGGTTGCCCGCTGATTTCGAATCCTAAATACAATACATTCGTTTGTACTCATCTAGTTCTGTCTGGCTTAAATTGAACTGTTCCGGGAATTCATAATTAGCACAGAAATTCTAGTACTTCTAATTATCATAAAATCCTAGTTTTGTTCGGTTTCAAGTATAAATTATCCATTCTTATACACTTATTTGAGCTCCTGGAAAATACCAAGAATTTCTTGAGGATAATTTAACGGTTAAAGTTCATATCCGTAAAATAGGTTCACCTATCAAATTTTAATAGCTTAAAACACGTTAACGATTATGATGGATATAGCTGTAGCAGTGAATAAATCCTCAAAATAAATAGTTCCGTGTCTTCAATAATGATGTTGAACTTGTTAGTTTTACTGGAAACACCCTAGCTGATATCCGCTCCTTTGATTACAAAGAATTTAATAGTCAAACAGTTTCTGGTGAATACCGGTTGTCATATATTTATCAATTTGCTGGTAATTGAAAACACAAAAGTGTTCTCAAAGAAAGATTAGTTACAGGTGATTGGAAAGACGGTTTAAATACATTGGAGAACAAATTAAGTGTTCCTCAATTACTAAACCACTGGGGTGAGATGTTAACATAACCACCTCCCTACCCTCAATGAAGCTTTAAAAAACTATAGCTGAAAGCGACAAGCATTAGTGAGCTAACCTTAGGATTGTTTAGTTATTTTTAGAAATCTGTCTCGAATCCACAAATCTGTATCATTTTTAGGTATTATATTTTCTATACTCAATCTTTTTCTACTACCACTAATAATGGAACTAATATTATACCTCGTTAAGCTGTAGCAAATTGAATCGATCTACCTATGCGCTAGGTTATACGTTGTGATTGACGACAGACTGACTATATGCTATTACTTAACCAAATCTATTAGAATAACAGAGTACTTCAGGCAGATATGGACTTGTCGAGTTTAACCGGTCATTCTGTAAGTATTATAAGCTGTACACTTTCGCTAACAGTAGACCTTACGCTTCATCTATAATTAATTCATTGTTTTTAAATCTGACCGTCGTATCTATAATTCAATATCCGATGGTAAAATGGAAAAAATTTCTTAGAAGTTGCACTTCCAATTACTGGTCAATAAGCCACCTATGAATTATATATTCAGAGGCCATCTCCTTTGTTGGAATTTGTGAAAGAACCTTATTGATGATTGAAGATATTGAGTTATATAATTTGAATATGACCTCAGTGTGATGTAGATACACTAATCCACTTTATTGGGCTTCTTACTGTTCCCATCTCTAGGGTTTCTTTGTTTGTGGTGAAGCGTATATACATGACATCAACCCATGAAGATGCTAGTCGTTAGCTTGGGCCATGTAAGTAGGCGTAAAATACGTGGTCAGGGTCCGCGTGATCATTGTAATCACTAGTTAGAAACCTTGAGTGAAATAGTTCAAATTCGTTTGTAATTTAACCTTATCGGAAGCATCATAATGGTTAGTGAAATGTTCTACTTTGATGAACACCTGTTTCTTTACAATACTCACTTCTGATATTGATGACTGCCTGGCAATGAAGAAACAAAGTATGAATATTACATACTATTGATGAATAACAAATGGTTTCTAACTTACGAACCATTTTTGAAATCCAGTGGTACTTAAGAACATGAACTGAGTAGCAACAAAAGTGTACAAAAAGAATATGAATTTGAGTATGGATATTTTTTTAACTGATTTATCCGATACATATTCGTCTACTTGACTTTGAGCTGCACTCTAAACATGAGGGATAGTAGAACTATCTAATTGTCAGAATTGGAGTAAATAGGACAGGATATCTAACCTGAGACGGCTTAGTGCTTACAAGTAGAACGCTCTGACTACTCACTCATCGCTGTACGATAATATTTGGTAAGTTGTTATAATACAACACTAGTGCCTACCTACATGTATGTTGTCCCGATAAGAATAATGAATGGTAATTTTTGGGATCCACTTATGGACCAATATTATGAGTATATTTTTATCGTATAATGGTTATGCAACTAAACTGTTCATATTCATACCCTCTTATTATGAGCTTTATGTTGACCTGTGAACTACTATTGTACGATTTACCATTCATGAATTATTCCCTATTTGTTAATCGCTACCTCCCTCATTCACAGTCACTTCTGGCTAATTATTGTACAAATGTTATTTTCTATTTTATTGGTACGTTGTGGTCGGGTTGATTGGTATATAAACATAGTATGCTTGAAATACAATGATTCATATCTCACAGGCTGAGACTTGAGTTCTGGACTCAACTGGCTGGGCTAGACAGGGAAGCAAGGCCAATCAGAACTCTAGGTCGTTCTTACGTGTTTTACGCGTCTTTGGTCCGATCGATAATACACTGCTCTCTAATCTTTCAATCAAGGACACAACAATTGGCACGGGGGTAAAAATTGATCCACGTTCAAGTCACAACAATGTAAATGTCTCATGAAGTTCGTTCTGGAAATATTTGTAAGTAGATCAAGACAGTAAGAGTTAATGGAATTGCATATTGATCGGTAGGACTACAAAAGATGAGAACCCAAAACAAGAAAATCTAGTTGTGACATTATTAGCCGATCAATTTATTAGTTATATAGAATGACAATAACAGCCGTTGAAAAAAAACGAACCATAGCACCAAAAACCATGAAGTTAAGTTACCGTTAGTTATTAGGCATAAATATTGTTATTTTCTTTAAGGATCTAAAACCATATAAACAATAAAACGTTTTATTCTGTGCTTGTTTCTTGTATAACGATGAGACTGTAATCACGATCTAAGTCGACAAAATAAGAGAAAATAGAAAAAAAGTTCTTAAGTAAGCGAATGGAAGGAAACTAAATAATATATTTTTCTAAAAGTAACTACATGAAATACAACCTGATCGAGTATCGGGACTTGAAGACTTCGGGGTTTGATCTCCGGTGGGGTAGTGGATTTAAACCCAAATTAAGGAATTTCATTCTGCAATTATAAATAGTTGTCAAATGCTTACTGCTTTTCAATACTTATCTAACTAAAATCAATCCATGATATGGACTAAAATTAATGTCAATAATTCGGGACATCAACAAACATAAACTGAATGTCACTATCGGTAGGGGAGTTATCAAATGAAACTAGCTAACTAACGATTAATTTTTATAACATGAATGTTAAAATTCTAAGCAACTTTTATAAAGTGATGGTATTTTCAATAACTTAGTTTCAGTCGATTGTCAGTATTTAAAAAGAGAATGGTTTCATGTTTACTGATAACTTATTAATTGTCTTATTTATCAAATAGATAATTTGTCATTAAATAAAGCAATCTATAAATGAAATATATTACCAGAAACAATACAGCAGAAAACGCCAGGAAAACATGATTGCAATATCTTAATTAGATATGATGGATACATCTATGGCAGTTGGAAATCTCTGATTCCAAACCAATCGTTTACATGGACTCCAAGATCCTGAAGGAACAAAAGACGTATCAACTTATATTGTTGGTCACCGGCTACCATGGGACTGGATCTCCTAAACTTGCTCCACTGCCTTGTGGATTAGACTTTCAGGTCAAAGGTTTAGGGTGTGGCCTCCTAAAAAAACCACCTGCTTCGGTTTGGGCACCCGAGCATTATTACAGCCCTCATACAAATCAATGATAATTGCTAATGGCCTCATTGTTATTGTGTGGCGCATATGTATTTGATGCCCTATTTCACTAGTGTTTATGTGAATGGGTTTTGTGGAGACTTTTAGGAATTTCACAGGTTGAAATCATGAGTCAATTGAAGCTAGACCACCATGGAAAACCTGGAAGCACTGGACAACCGTTTCGTCCTACTGCGAGACTTCCCAGCAGTGCGCATCCGGCTCAGTGGTCTAGTGGTTAAGTGCTCGCGCGCGAGACCAGTAGGTCCTGGGTTCGAATCTCGCAGGGGGCGAGGTCATGGATGCGCACTGCTGAGAAGTCTCGCAGTAGGACGAAACGGCCTTCCAGTGCTTCCAGGTTTTCCATAGTGGTCTAGCTTCAGTTGACTCATGATTCCAACCTGTGTAATGTTTATGTGTTCAAATAAATAGATAAATAACATTAGATAGCATTAAAAATATGAACATAGGTAGCGAAAAAAAAGATTCATAAGATAGACAAATTTTGTTTGTTGATATATTCCAAAGCCATTTGTTTAGGATAAATAAAAATGAAACGAGGAAAATTAGTTATAAAGAAAAAAAAATACTACCTGGTGCTACCATAATTTCATTTCGAGTACTTCGTATACGCAAAAATGTTAAATCATTAGATGGATCTAAATCACGAACAGCAGAACGAGATTTTGCGACCAATTGTTGAATAAGACCACAGTAATGATTTGTGGTACTGTTATCCATGGAAGTTCTTACTGCGATCCCTTAGAAAAGTAAATAAGATATTTTTATATAAGAACAACCATAAATAATGAATGAGATCAATTGTATCACTGAAGAAGAAGAATAAAGACAATTTAACTAAGAAACTATTCTTTTCGACGCTAGTTTATAGAAAATTATCAAGATAACTAGTCTGATGAATAATAATGATATTAGTATGTAAGAACAGTGTAATTTCATAATAGAAGTATCTGGCCATGAGTTTTAGTTCAGAAATGAGCTATATTTATGTTATAACTTGTGCCCTAATAATACTTAACATAATGATACCATCAATAAGAGAACAGTGATTTATCGACCGAACTAATGACGCATAAACCCGTACGAGCAGTCTAGAGTCCTGATTGGTCCTGCTTTCCGCCTAACCCAGCCAGTTAAGTTCAGAACACCAATCTCAGCCTCTGAGATATGAATCAGGCATTTCAAACATACTGGGCTTATATACAAACCAAACAGACTATATCGTACCATAAAATAGAAAATAACATTTGTACAAGATTTAGCCAAAAGTTGCTGTATTCATGAGAGACTGTAATTGATAGACTAGGCATAAATTAAGAATGGTAAATCGTATAATAATAGTCAATGGGTTAAAATAAAGTTTATAATAAGTAAAATATGAATATGGATAGTTTAGTTACTTAACAATTATACAATGAAAATATATGTATAGTATTAGTCCATAAATAGATTCCAACAGTTACCATTCATTATTCTCGTCGAGATAATAACAACTTAGGAGATGGAAAATATCTAAATCAATATGAACTTCAACTGTAAGGTGTTGGTCTACAAAAAGCTTTGCTTGACCTAGGTTTTGTGCTCGTCAACAAGGTATACCTGTAATCTTGGAGAAACTAATACTCCTTGGGAGATTCGATCCCGTGTCACTCAATTTCACAGTCAGATACATTACCACTTAGAGTAATGGTCAAATTACAACTTGATCAGTGTTAAAAAAGACTTGAGATATGTGAAGTTGGCCACTACTTACTCAATGATCAGTCAATTGTAAATATAGTTTAGTGAGATGCTTTTCTGATTAAGTAAGGTTTATCACACTTACTTGAGATGGGACAAGAAGTGGATATAATAGAAGCATTCAAAGTAATCAATAAATAATCTAACTATATTAGTAAAAGTCGTGGAAGCCATAGGTAGTTAGGCTTGAGCCTGACCATCTGTATTGGTAACCAAGATGTTTGTTATATCCTAGTGAAGATTAAATTACGAGTAACTTCTGAGAACTATTAATGGACCAGTATTATAAATATATTCCTATTGTATAACTGTTCAGTAACTAGATTGTGCATACCTATATTTCTCCTATTATAAGATTCATTTTGACCTATAGATTATTATTATTATTATTATTATACGATTTACTGTCCTTAATTTATGTTCAGTTTATTGATTCCAGTCTACCACGTTCACAACCACTTTTTGGCTTGATTTTGTATAAATATTATTTCCTATTTTGTGGTGTGATGCCGCCTGTTTGACTGGTATATAAGCCAAGTATATTTGGAGTAAAAAATTTGCATAGTGGAAGCCGTTATTGGCTTTGTGGACTCACCTGGACGGGCCAGGAGGAAAAGGACCAAAAGAACGCTATGCTGTTCATAATGATTGATACGTCATTGGTGTGGTGCGGTGCTAAGATAGTATAAGTCGTATTCCGATTGGCGAATAAGTCACGTGATAATAAGCCGGGAAAAGACAACAATATTAACTTATTTTACTAATTCTCCTATTCAATTAAGGATAATTACAATTTAGTGAGTTCGACTCATTTGTTTCTTCTTTATAAACTTGGATTTTTGTTAATATTACGTAGTGACAACTATCTTAAAAAATATCCTACAACTGTCACTCCCAGCATTTATAGAAGCCTGTTAACATTTAATTCTTAACGATATTTACGTTTACATTCTATACGTATATATATTTATCTATTTAAACACATAAACATTGGTATACGGAGGCACCAAACAGATATGCGCCACACAAATCATTCGATTTGTGTGAGGGTTATGATACTGCCCGGGTGCCCAGACGGAAGCAGATGATTTTCTTAGGGGGCCACACCTGGAGCCTTCGACCGGAAGGTCTGATCCACAAGGCAGTAGAGCAACGTAAGGAGATTCAGTCCCATGGTAGCCGGTGACCAACAATAGGTTCATACGCCATTTGCTCCTTTAGGATAATGGAGCTCATGTGTACCATTGGTTTGGAATCAAGGTTTACCAACTCCCCTTAGTGGACTCTCCGTGTTCATCAGCCCGGTTAAAGCGCCGATATTCGCTTCTTATCCTCTCGATTTCGTAGACAACAATCCCACCGCGAAAAGGCAGTGACTAGGACTTTTTTATTGTTGAGCAATCCATCTTTTAAAAAGTTCCAGATTATGCATGTAGCTGAAGTGAAATATGAATTTATTGTATTCTGTAATCAATGTCTTCGGTTTATTCAAATTTATTATATGTAGTTAAAATCTAAGCGATTTCAGCTGGGTGGACGGCAACACGATGAGACGTAACATTTGGACGAGTGAGAAATTATCGAAACGCTTTTATTTTGAAAGATTGCCTCCAAATTCTTCCATATGGTCACGTATATATACTCACTAACTTCTTGCGACAGGGGTATTGTTTACAAAATTAAGGACGGGTAAAGAATCTTTGGCGCTCAAACCGAGTAAGAATGATCCACCTAGAGGAGATATAAAACTCTGACTCCAAAGTGTAGCGCATATATATTTGGTGCCCTCTTGTACCAATATTTATGTGTTCAAATGGACATGGGTTTCAGGATCCTAAGGGAACAATTGGCGTACGAATCTATTCTCGGTCACGGGTTTCCATGGGACTGCATCTGACGTTATTTCACTGACTACTGGATTAGATCCCAAAATCAATAGCTCGGGGAGTATGTCCTTAAGAAGACCATCTACTTGGGTTTGGGCACTCAGACAATAATTCAATCCACACACAAACAAAATAATAACTACTCTGTGTGGCGCTTATATATTTTAGTGCCATTTTGTGCCAATTCGTGTTTAAATAAACAAATAATAAAACATCACTATCGATAACTCTGGGAAGCAGGCTTTGATTTATGACGCCTAGCTAATTAAATGAAAAGTTCCCAACATACAAAAAAGAATCTATAAAAATAGCCTACTTTCAGACTGAGGCGTACACTTACACATATATCTGAAGTTGTTTACAATAAAAAAGGCGAAAGATTTATCCGCAAATGAGACACCCCCAAATGCCCTGGTATGGCCGAGAGTGCGGTGGGTTCGCCCTCCCTCTCGAAATGCTCTCACACGACCACGCGTATGCAGCCTCTGCCAGGGAAGTCCTACTCACTGCATTCTCGTGGCGTTACTGTTGTTTACAAAAATGAGAAGACGAAAAGCGAATGTCCGGCGCTTTAACCGGATTCCAAACCAATGGTGCACATGGGCTCCAGTATCCTGAGGGAACAAATGGTGTATGAACCAATCGTTGGTCACCGGCTACCATGGGAATGTATCTCTTCACGATGCTCCACTGCCTTGTTGATCAGACCTTCAGGTCGAAGGCTCCGGGTGTGGCCCCCTAAGAAAACCACCTGCTTCGGTCTGGGCACCCGGTCAGTATCACAGCCCACACACAAATATGGTGTTGCACATATATATTTGGTGCCCTCTTGTATCAATATTTATGTGTTAAAATAAATAAATTGCAATAAAAACGAATGGATCAATGATTGGTAAAGCTACTAAATATCAGTTATAATGCTTACCATCTGAGCTTACAATAATTGCACCAATAACTCCTTTGTGTGCCAATAATCTTTTAAATGTTTCTTCTACTTCTGACTTAAAAATATAAACAAGTGATTTAGTATGTATTAGCATTGATCATAATTACAAAAGTGTGAAGTAACTTGTTAAACTTAGAAATCTTGTAAAAAATATGGGACAAAAATTCATCCATCTACAATTCTATCTACTAGTGATTAACAGACCAATTACAGCATAACAATACCAACATTTACAAAAAAATTAGATATTTTAATTCGCTTAGGTGATTAAACAAACACTGGAAATTAAGATTTACTAAGTGACTTTAGATTTGTAATATACAATTATCTTGGAAGTTAACATAAGTTCTAATTAGTTGATTAGTTAGAAGACTGTTATATTGTTTTTTCCTCTCAGTCCATTAGTTATTTTAAAGCAACTAAAACTGTTATGTCTTTTATTCCCTGTTAATTATCACGTGACTAAATCGCCAATTAGAACCCTAACTTATTGACCAGACCAGTGACACATAAACAATTACGAGGAGCCTAGAGTCAACTCCGAGTTCTTAGTGGTCCTCTGAGATAGTAGGTACTCACCTAATCGGGCCAGTTTAGTTCAGAACACCAATCTCAGCCTCCGCTATATAAATCACGTATTTCAAACATATGCAATTTATATACAAGCAAATCAGATCGCATTATACCATAAAATAGAAAATAACAATTATCCAGGATCAGGTCAAAAGTGCCTGTGAATGTGGAATACTGTAACTAAGAAACTGAGAATAACCTAAGTTACGGAAGCTTATAATAAAAGGAATATATATATATATATATATATATATATATATATAGTAGCAGTTCATAAATAGATCTTAGCAGTTACCATTCACTCATTCTTCGTCCGGATATAATAAAAACAAATTAATTTTTCCAGTCGAATGAACGGAAGGTGGAAAGTACCTATTTACTATAGAGGGATTGTACAAGAAAAGAAATACAGGAGAGAAAGCATAGGACATAAGTGTAATGAAAAGATGAGGCTGGAGGTTAAACACAGGGTACCAGGTAAACATTACAAATAGGCTGATGAGGTAATGAATCTTTATCTATTGAAATAGTTGGGACACGTATTTCGTATAGCCAACCACTCTCTGTCTCGGCAGTCAATGTTGTTTGGTGTAGGAGTAGGTTGATAAAAAAGTAGGAGCTGTCAGACAGACGTGACACCAGTCTAAGGGGTCATCGACAAATGGACTGAGTCATGTTTGTGGGTATAGAATATCTGGTTAGGGTTTGCGTGATTCCTGTAACTAATGGTTAGGGATATTGTATGATAGAGCTCAAAATCAATTGCAATGGTGCAGGTACATCCGATTTTTGTCTTCTTCCAAATTCTGAGCTTCTGGATTCTTCATAACTTTCTTATCTTTTCATCTCACTAATTTACATTTTCTTGGATCATATCTTCGATACCTAATATTTTCAATTACCACGCATGTTGTCACTACGTCTACTATTCTGGGATTTGGTTTGGCAGTTTCATCCCTCTGTGCTAATGGGGTATACCAATTCGAACCGATGTACATGCGTACTAGGCTCTATGTTGTTAATGGCTGAAATTACAAAATTCAATTTTGGGTTCTAACACTGAAAAGTGAATACATATATGTGGACCACAACAGTTCGAAAACACACAAATAATGCCGGGTAAGCAATCACAATCAAGTCTTTTAATCGTAGCTCAGGAACAGAATATGTCTCTATAGCTAAAAATAATTCATTTGCCAAACACCAATCAAAACTTTAATATATATTTAAGACTCGAGAGTGAAATCGGTTTTGTTTACCTAGACCAACCCATTCAGCTAGTACAAGTTTACGTACTCGGCTTTGAGAAACATGGAGCAATGAGTTTCAGCGCAGCTAGTCTTAAGGCATTGCTTCCTGCACGTAAAACACAACAGACTTAGATACACTTAGTGAGTGCAAAGTTTTTAGATTCATTTGAAATACTCACTAGACAAAACTTTACCGCATGTAAACTACGTCGATCATAGACTCCATGGTTATTGTGAGGAGTCATCTACCACTACGTTAGTGGAAAAGTTGAGTGAAATGATAAATTACATATAAACACTGGTTTTTGTTCAAACTTGATAGGTTTCTTCAAGTTCTTATGTAAATTGGTGGATAGGTAGATCACAGTTCTAATCTTTTTCAAATTACAAGTGACTTAATGTAGCACTTATTAAGGAAAGTATACCACAAGCTTAGTTAATATTCCTATAGCAGTGGCGCGAGGTCCGAACATGTGACTTAGTAGCTGAAAACAGAACGCTCTAACTACTGAGCCACTGCAGCATGGAGTAAATACCCAGTTATGGTCAGTGGAAATACTTAGAGGGGTGTCAAGTTCTAACCATTAATATGTTTGAGAGGTCACTCAAGGTGAATTAGATGAAGAAAAAATGATACACCAAGCAAAAACTTGGAAAAAAAGAGTAAATTCGTCGAAGACTGAACCTACATGATTGAGGATCCCTCAAATGTACAAAGTACTGACTGTCAATGCTAATTAATTCACTGTGGTGAGGAAAACATTATGGTGGACAGGTATACATATATATTTTTGTAGGTTAAAAGACCTGATGGTACTGGGGCCATGAGAAAGTGAAGCGGTTCATTATTTAACGTGGAAATTTGCCAGACGACTTGCTTTTGTAGCGGTCCTAATTAAGTCTCCTCTCGAAGCTGATTTTTTGGCGAACATCTAGAAAATACACTCAGTCTGCATCCAACCAATTAACTATACACCATCAAATCAACGGTTTTTTAGTGACATCTGGTTTCAAAAAGCCTGATTACCTTTAGACGAATTCACTTACTCGAAGTCAAAATCGATCAAGAACGAACTTTCTGTGGAACCCACTACTTTAATTGCTCTACCGGACATATTAAAATGGTTGTTGTCAAAGTCCTTACGTCATTTTTTGACGGAACATGGAGCGAAGGAATCAAATGGATTACGACAACTCATAAGATGCTTAACCGCCATCCGAAGATTCAGTAAATTTATTGTTTCTTTCTTTGAAAAAGACAGAATTAGGTGATGACGTCATCGTAATACAAACCACATATATCTAGAGCATTGGAGAGTTGGCCCACAATAATTTCAAGACTATGTGATAAATATCACTTTTAAATAACGATATACTTCGAAGGTACAACACATACAAATCGTGTGAGATATAATGTATGCTGAACAGATGGATTAAATATTTGGTAATTCCTAATCCACATTCACATATTTATGCTTAATGTCAGTTGCAAATACTTCATAAGGTGATGATAAGAAGATGAAACAAGTTAAGAAAATAAACAAATTATAATTAACAACCCGCTTACCATTATCTATGGCGCAACAAATGGGTTGCCGCGGTGACGATGCAGCCGGTTGATAAGTTCGATATCCAATATCCAATTTCTTCTTGACAATCTTGCACAAAACGGTTAGCTCCTTTGCTCTCATTTCTTGTCATTACAATACACTTCCAGCTCTCTGGTAATGTCCAGTTGGCTTTAGCTCAGTCACTCGACTCCATCAACTTTAATCAGCTTGGTGTTCATTTGTGAGTCTTTAAATTTGAGTGAGTGCGTTTGTATAAGAGCAGAAGGGTCTCTGGATACTTGCGACTATCACATTACCAGATAGGAGGTAGGTTGGCTGAAACATGAAAAGTAATGAAGTGAAAACTTGAGTGCCATGAGAAGACGATTTTTTTAAGAGGTAGGTAGATAAATAACTTAATAATCAAGCTAATCAATTGGTGATGCACAGTGTGAGGAGACCTATATGTGAGGGCGAAAGGGAAATATAGATGATAATTAGTGAGATGGGAATTAGTTACTGATTTGTGATGATGAAAAAGTAGTAGGGCTGCGAAAAATGGAGCAGGTACAGCTGGTCCATGGGGGTGATAATCTGTGAATGAGTACGTGTTTATTAAGTTTCCACTTAAAGTTACCCACTGATGAGGCTGTGGTCACTTCGGCTTGGGGAGCATTGCGGATTGGGACAACTCTTAATGAGAAAAAGTGAGAACGTACCAACGTGTTCGCTCTTTGATGTGTAATAGTTTTAGGATTGCCTCGAGTGTGATGTTGATATTCCGGTAGTATGTTTGTATTGAAGTGGTTTGGCGTACTGAGAATCTTCCAAGACACTGTTATATCACCTCTTATCCTCTCATTGATCAGCGGGAATAATCACAAGTGTTGGAGTTTGTGTTCATACTTGTTCTAAGGGGTTTATGTCTTTTTTGGAGAGCAGGTGGGAGCAACGCCACAGTGAACTCGAATGAGGGACCGCGTGTGCGTTTTCAAAAGATTCAAGAACGATTACTTGGTGATCGAGTAAAGTTCTCATCACATAAGGTGAAGAACTGAGTTTAGATTGGCTTCATCCCGTACTTAGTTGGAGTTGTTATCTAGGCTTTCCGAGGTTGTAAGCCTGATCTCATGCTTTAGCGTGACAGTCGGGAGACGGTCGTCGTGTAGGCTCTACTAATGCAGCTTAGGTAAGAAATATTCTCGTCCCACCAAACTATTTTATTTGTGACCATGAAAAACACGTTTGCACCATGATCACTTCTTCCTATCGGCGGGCGGACATGGAAACTCTCGGATAAGTAAACCATTTCAGTTCGAGGGTTTTCCGACCTTACCTCATCTCGCGTTGTCACCCACATGTTCGGATAGTTCCAAAATTCTCTTTGCATAAAGTGAAGTGTTGAGTTTTCCTCTTATTCTTCTGGTCTGTTTCATCGCCTGCTGCTCCTCATCATCAGTATAGGTCTTCCGCATTTTAAGCAGACTATTGTTTAAAGTGTATTGGTCAGTTGCGTGCGAACTAACCGTTGTATAATTGGGACTATTTAGGATGTATCATTAGTAGGGCCGTTGTCCCTGTGTGTTTTCTGCAGTTGTCTTACCTAACGTGATCTGTTCTGGCAACAACCGATGTTACTGGACAGGTTGTTTTTCGAGTCGTACCAGACCTGAATTGCCTCATGAGTTTCTCTCGGTTTCTGAAATTCACGGACGTCAGACGCGAATACCCAGCTGTCGTGATGCGTGGCGGATCAAGTATCCTGAACGCGCCAATTACCATATGGTTGTTAAGATCTATGCTGCATAATGGCCAACAACACTGTTGCATATCGTGTTCGTGAGCTTTATCTTGACTACCACTGACCAGCTCAGGAATTGCTTGAACCACCATTCTGGTTGGTTATTGGGTGTTTGTCAATCTTCTGGTCGTATCTCTAACAGCTCAGGATTTGTCGTGCATAACCCGAATTTGAGAGGATCGTTTAATTGATGGTCACTGAGATGTCAGTGAAATTTCTTCTGCCACATGTGCTGAGTCCAACGTTACTCTTAATGGATACGATTTCGTTTTCGCGATATTTTGTTTCATATGCAGGGGACACAGCTAGGTTGATGTGATACTCTTTCCCAACATTGTACAGTATTTATCTCACCCTTCTTTACTGAAGACTGCCCTATTTTCTAGTAACTTACTTTTCAACTCCGGGAATTTATCGTTTTAGTGATATCTCTGTCCAATAGTCTGTAATATTAGTAGCTTAGCACGCCTTCTTCTTTTCTTTCTTGTTTGCTTACTAGTCTTATCAGGAGTAGGAGCTTGATTAAGAGTTTGATCTTGATTGCCTAGTTGAAGATGTAGCCTCGGTGTTTGAGTTGAGTGATCCATTTTGTACACATTATTTAGGGTTCATTGACTGATGTCGTCTCCATAGATACCGAAATTTTCAACCTACTATAAACCCTTGAATAATGATCTTCATCAATATTTCTCGTGACTTCAACGTAAGCAATCGTGCCAAAGCTATTACTTTGCATGTTACTCGACGGAGAAAGTACATAATGTTGAATAATTTGAGGGGAAAACACACATAAGTTTTGGTGTAGGAAATTAATAGAGACAATTAAACGTATGTCACACAAGAATAAGGCCTTAAGGACGCTTAAAATCACAAGATTACTCTTGTCCATCCTACTGAGCAACTACGAGAGGATTTTGCATAAGTTCTATGTTTGTAAGGGAATGAATGTTTGTGTGGTGCGGTTGAAGTAAAAGTAATGTTTTCAATGCTTACCATTTTAACAAAGATCAAGTAAAATGTAGTGGGTTTTCCGGATGTCTATATTTCTTTGTCTTATCTGAAATAGCCTTTTAGAGAGACCTGTTAGTTCATTAGTACATTATTTCAGTTAGGTACCGTGTACCTAAACGAAATTCAGTACTTCGGTAGTATTATGTTCTGTGCATCAAATGGTTTGATTATGAAGCATTCACTTTCTTTCTAAATAGTATCTTCAGGATTCAATTCTCATAGAGTTGAACGTTTCAGTTATTTCGTAGATGATAGTTCACAATGTCTTTGGTAGTTTTTCCAAATGAAAGAAATGGGTAAATTCACAGACTAATTGCCAGATAGCACTGGTTGTCCTTGACTCTGAAGAGGATCGGGAAACTGTTTAGTACTCAGTGACCTGCCATCTGTATGATACTTCACTGGCTCTACATATCATTTGTGATATTCATTGATTTCAAAGCATAAAAGACTGAGTACTTTGTAATAGCAAAAAGCTACACTGTTATTCAAAGAAAGTTTGGTTCCTCTCGCTTTCTTAGTGATCAATTTTTCAACTACCGGTGTTTAATTGACAATCGGAAGTAGTCGAGATCAGTATGCTTACAAGAATTATTCATGTCATACTATACTGGTCACATGTAGATAAATATTCGAGTCTGGAAGAACTACGTGAGTACGGTCGGACATATTGTATTTGACATTACGGTCAGGCGAGGAGTACCTTACATACGCGTTATCAATTCGTACCAACGCCACACACTATTAGTCAATAAAGTCCTGTAAACAAGGGCCGGTTGGTGGGGGTATCCAGTAGTGTTTATGAGAAAGTTAAACATGGAATATAATAAATAATTGGCATAGTCAAAATCATCACAGCTCTAAATCGATTCTCACGCAGTATGAGGTACAAGAATAGTTTGATATTGAGATATCTCGTGCTATTAATTGTCCCACATTATCTCCACAATTAACCGTAAAATTAGGGCATGAAACGTTCTCGATTTGATCATATATCTCATTAGAACGTCTCTCGTTAGGAGAACCACGTGAATGACATCTAGCCTCTGTTAATTTCGTTGCAGATCTTATTATGCAATTAAAGAGTGAGGGTGAATAGCGAAAAAATAAACGTGGTGTAACTTGGTCTCTGTAGTTCGTAGTATACATAATCGTGTTTAACTCTTAATCAGCCCCCTTTCTTCTCTCTACGCATTCCCTTTTCACTTGTTTCACATTTCATTCTTGGAAAGTTTCGGAATTGTATTCTATATGGTTTACCATTTAGTTGTTAGTTATTTAAAGAAATTTTGCATACAGGAGCATCTGACATCGCTGATGTCTTTCAATAAAATTATCCCAAAGCCAGGAAAACAAGTATGGCTGGAAGAGAAATCGCATCTTGATGCATGCAAAATTTATGTGTTGTGTGCCCTCTAAGTGTGTTGAAACATGATCTAACGTGGTCGCCCTACCAACTGTCTTTAGCTAGCGGTGCTATATGATCAGCATCAATATCAAACTCTTAGATAGTTTCCTATTTTGGAGACTTACGAACTTCTATATGCCGATTTATGAAGCACTTTTCGCTACTTTTAACTTAAGCCCACTCTCTGTAATGTCTAAGATTACAATGAATAGTAAACGGAAAATGAAACATGAATTATTATTTCTAAACGTAGTCTGGAGCCTTATCACAAATTTCCAATTATGACTATAAACACTGGCTACAAATTGTATTTATAAATGATATCTTTCATTGCGACGAACTCTCTCCTCTTTCTGTTTCACTTCTTAACATTCCAAACTCTGCTAATCTGACAAAGTTCGAACAACCAAACGAATCCCCGTTCATACGATAGCTTTCAGTTCGAGAAACCCTAATAACGCGTGGAAGAACTGTTTGACACTTTTACGATAAATTGACCACGAACTATGTTTTAACCCTGTCATGACCTACTTTTATGAAGGGAACGCGATTAGTATAGTCGACACAATTATTATTATAACCAATAGTACCAGAGGTTGTTTTACTGTACCTGTTTGTTTAAGTGTACTAAAAACACACATTCTTCCGTTGTCTGTGACCTTGCACGAACTCGCGTGCACTCGATAGTCCCGCTTGTAAACTTTGGCACGAACTCGGTATTATTTTGATACCACGAGATCGCCAACAAATACAGCTTACTACAATCTTCGATTGCCTTCTGATATTTAGCCCAGGGAGGTTGCTAACCTGGTAGCTGGCACGTAGTCTTCCTGCAGTGGTGATCATAGTCAACCGCGACTTGACGCCCACTACAAACCAATAGAAGTACAATGGCCATTAACTAAAAAGATCCTCATAGGCGAGCAAAATGGTCTCGGACGATTTACTATTGAAAGCATGCGAATGCAAACGAAATTAATGAGTTCGTATGGCGAATAACCAATACATTTGCCGTACAATTGAATATTTTATGTTGTATTCAAGCCTGTAATAACAGTACAATAGAATTTCATACTGCGAACCTCGAATTCGGGTTCTTAATTGTGTCTTGTTGAAGTCCTAGAGTCATTGGAACTATTTCTGTCTCTTTATATCACTTTAAATTCACCGTTCGCATAAACTCGCTATATAAGTGCTGAATACTGACAATTTGATAAGTATTATTCGGGATCTACTTAATTCGCTCACTTAAAATCAATAATAAAGATGACTGAAATACATTTTGTAGCAGATTTCAAATGATGAACACGTGATGTTCTAAATAAAATGTTTCGATATTCTTACTCATTAAATAGCTCAATCGTTTGGTAATGCTTTCATATGTAAGGTACAACTAGCATCCAAATCATACAAAAATTAGCTTTTCATACGGTTATCTTCGCATTTTGGGAAAGTTTTAAAATCGACGAATTATATAATAATTCGAGTGTTTTAGGGCTTTTTCACATAAATCTGTACGACTTCTTAGTACGTGGTTGTAGAGGTTGTCGAATCTCATGACAACCTTGAACCGTTATAAGTTCGACCGCCATTAAGAACTTGAAAGAACTGGATGGCGTTTCTTCCTAGAACAGGACTACTCATCAGTGCTCATCTACAATTTCATAAGTGAAACTCGAATCCAAGATCTTTAGCTTTGAGCTTAAACACTTAGCCGTTAGGTGATTTCTTGATGATAATCTGAAGTGTAGACAAATAACATTAACTATTCAATCACAATGTACCGGTCATAACGTCGATTCCGCTTAACTACATTTCTATTTTCAAAAATATTATGAGGCTGGAATAGAAGCATAATATTACTTTGATTATGAAAACTTTTATTGAAAAAAATAAAACAACAGAAGTAACTATCAAGCAAACAAAAGGTTATTTTGACGTAGAACGAGACATGTTTGAACGTCGGAACAATAACCAGAAAATTACCAAACCAAATGTTGCAAACAGAATGAAGCCAATCAAGAGAGTAAGCAGAATGAGATCTAGAAAATATGATGGAAAAAAGTAGGAAATGTCAACTTGTGAGATTTTCAACATCATAAAAACAAAAGGACAATGACATATGATTGTAAAAATATATAGGTGTCGATGCATTAAAAGGTTAAAGCCTTAATGATATGCAAGGAGATATCAAGCAATAATTATGATTGAACTATTAAAAAACGAATATGAAAAAAAGAAACAAGTTAATGATGTACAAAGTCAGAAACAAACAAACTAACCTGTATCAGACGAACTTTCACAATTAGAAGATTGATTCAGAGAAGTTTGACATTCGTAATGAGGAACTAAAACATCGTTTGAATGAACAATATTTTGATGACTGGAAGCTAAAATGACACGAAAAGAAAAGTAAAGTATAAATAAATAACAACGAAGAATAAAAAAAGTTCATTTAAACCATCTTGATTGATGAGTGAGAATATCATCAATAAAAATAACACAGTCTTAATAAATCTATATAAAAACAGTAAATAAGAGCAAACAAGATACAAAAAAAGTATAAAAAACGGGGAAATACGAAAAATATTCGAAATAAAGACGAAACCATATGAGATCGAAAGATAATAACATAAAAAAGGAGAAAAAAAGGGTGTCAAAGTGAAAAAAAATACTAAAACATAAAATAATCAAAACAAAAAATTGATCATACACACAAAGCAATGAAACAAGACTGAGGTGACAGACAGATGCTCGAAATTATTTTCACACGTGTTTCCGACCTTGCGTTGGTTTTGACGTTCTGTTGGGACGACCTACGACATGCAAGTTCCGACTATTAGGCTAAGAGTGAGGACTTGGCGTTCCATATCAATAATAGAAAGGATTAACGAGTAAGATCAGCTTCAGTGATGATGTTATTTGTATGTGTGAACTCTCCGTGTTCCTCTGTTACTTTCACGAACGTAAAACGCATACATCCATCCTCACACTTCAGCCTCTCTTGTATTCGTTTAAACCTGTTTCACTGTGTTACAATTCACCTCACACTACATTTAGTTCATGTTATTCGTCTTTGGACTTTTTAACGACAGTTCCAGTCTGGGGACAGTAATTAGTTCGTGTCTTACTTGCTAGTCGAACGTACACTAATTTGCTTTATGGCAAAAATACTATACTGTGTCGACAAACAGTTTAAATTAGCTCTATGATTCCACTCTTAATCTCACCCTTCCTCGGCAGCACGATCTCAACACTCAATTATGGATATAGTAGTACGGTGAATTGGCGAAGTTTGGAATGAAGTAACTGGTTGGATAATTTGGTACGGATGCATGTGATCCAATATGGTTGTCAGTGTGCGGAAGTCATTTGAACCGGAATGTGAGTGAGTGTGAATTTAGTGAATGAGTTAGTGAACAGATTGATGAGACTCACCTCCGTCCTCGGGCAGTACATTTTGTGATGACAAACTTCCGTCTGTGTTCACTGCTCGCAGTTCAGTTGTTGGTTGTTGAGATGAATCGGTCTGTTCCACGTTTTCTGCTGTAACTAGGGAGAGGAACAATTGAGAGGAAATTGAAAATGTGCACATGTGGTAAACATTTCCCTTTGTGTCTGTCTTATTATGGAATAACCGAACAGAACAAATGTTTCAGCACTGTGTCTGTTGTGATGTAGTGAGTACTGAATGTTGATACTGAGAATGTGATGCTCACTTGTCAATGAGATGGCCTCAGATGGACCTACGTGATAACAGCTTACCGTTTAGCGAGTGCTCACGTAATCCTAGTTGTTCTTGTCTCTAAGTGAGTTGATGGAATGTGGTGCTTATGTACTACAGCTGCTGACACTTCAATTGAATGATTGTATGAAGTTGTGTTTCAGTATACACGTTCACTTGCAATGGCTAGATGTTTGTTCGTTTTCAGATCGAGTGACAATGCGATCACAGAGCCATTTTGTTAGTGATGGTAGTGTGTGTGCGTCTGAACATGCCGAATGTACTACACAACTGTTGTTCATTTCATCAGAACCGTCAACAATTTGACGAATAACTGTATGACATAGCTGATTGATATGTCTGTGCTATCGATCATTCTGTCGAGTGGTTCAATAAATCTCGTGGAATGTGGTGACTCGTGTGTTGCTGATGCACACTGAGCACCATGTGCACTGCATATTCACAATGCATATGGGACACAGGTCATCTCGGTCAGTCGAAATGCCACCACATTCGATCGACTGCAACTGGAATCTGTGGATAGGTCGTCCACAAACAATGTACAACCATTTCGAGATAGGGAGACGCTTCAATGTGACAATGAGCTCCGATTGCAGTCGGCAACCATCGGGATGTCGGGAGAAGTGAACAATACCGTTGGTTGAACAATTTGTAGACATGTTAGGATTGCAAGAATATCTGGTGTATGGAGCCTAGTATTGGATGAGACGCAAAGTGTGATGTGAACCGTCCTCATTCAATGCCTGAAACAGTTGTCATTCGGTAAAAGTATGAAGCACATATAATGTGACTGTCAAAGAGAGACTAACCTTCAGTTGATGGATGCTCAGTTGGCGAAGGCATTGAATGACTTATTGTTTCTGTTTCCGTCTGTGTTGTGCTTCCTCCGTCCTGCTGTTCACCTCCTGTCACATTGTCAGTGTTAACTAGAGAAAAGCATGACACGTGTTTTAAAGTATATAGACAAGTATGCATTTATTCATATTGACTTATATCTTGTCGGCAATCTCATACTTTATCCAATGCTAGTGTACAATACTCTTTCTATATTTCGTCAACGATCCATGTACTTCAACTGCACCATATACTTGTACATGTCGCTTGTAGTAATGGTGTTTCCAAACAAGGTCTGCAATGTGAGGCTTGGAGTGTGATATACTTGTAATCTATCCATCACTCAAAATGAGTCTAACATCAAAAGAGAAAGTAGATTGTGGTTACTGACAAGCAAACATTGATGGTTTGGGCGATGATTCCAATCCACTCATGTTAGTCGGACAGAAGCTGTTGTTTGTCTCAGACCCTTAACGATTAGTGATGAGGCAACCACCGAACGGTATTGAGGTTGTCCTCCGATGTTCGCTACTTCTTTGACTTGTGTTCCCGACCTTGTGTTGGTTTCGACGTTCTGTTGGGACGACCTACGACATGCAAGTTCCGACTATTAGGCTAAGAGTGAGGACTTGGCGTTCCATATCAATAATAGAAAGGATTAACGAGTAAGATCAGCTTCAGTGATGATGTTATTTGTATGTGTGAACTCTCCGTGTTCCTCTGTTACTTTCACGAACGTAAAACGCATACATCCATCCTCACACTTCAGCCTCTCTTGTATTCGTTTAAACCTGTTTCACTGTGTTACAATTCACCTCACACTACATTTAGTTCATGTTATTCGTCTTTGGACTTTTTAACGACAGTTCCAGTCTGGGGACAGTAATTAGTTCGTGTCTTACTTGCTAGTCGAACGTACACTAATTTGCTTTATGGCAAAAATACTATACTGTGTCGACAAACAGTTTAAATTAGCTCTATGATTCCACTCTTAATCTCACCCTTCCTCGGCAGCACGATCTCAACACTCAATTATGGATATAGTAGTACGGTGAATTGGCGAAGTTTGGAATGAAGTAACTGGTTGGATAATTTGGTACGGATGCATGTGATCCAATATGGTTGTCAGTGTGCGGAAGTCATTTGAACCGGAATGTGAGTGAGTGTGAATTTAGTGAATGAGTTAGTGAACAGATTGATGAGACTCACCTCCGTCCTCGGGCAGTACATTTTGTGATGACAAACTTCCGTCTGTGTTCACTGCTCGCAGTTCAGTTGTTGGTTGTTGAGATGAATCGGTCTGTTCCACGTTTTCTGCTGTAACTAGGGAGAGGAACAATTGAGAGGAAATTGAAAATGTGCACATGTGGTAAACATTTCCCTTTGTGTCTGTCTTATTATGGAATAACCGAACAGAACAAATGTTTCAGCACTGTGTCTGTTGTGATGTAGTGAGTACTGAATGTTGATACTGAGAATGTGATGCTCACTTGTCAATGAGATGGCCTCAGATGGACCTACGTGATAACAGCTTACCGTTTAGCGAGTGCTCACGTAATCCTAGTTGTTCTTGTCTCTAAGTGAGTTGATGGAATGTGGTGCTTATGTACTACAGCTGCTGACACTTCAATTGAATGATTGTATGAAGTTGTGTTTCAGTATACACGTTCACTTGCAATGGCTAGATGTTTGTTCGTTTTCAGATCGAGTGACAATGCGATCACAGAGCCATTTTGTTAGTGATGGTAGTGTGTGTGCGTCTGAACATGCCGAATGTACTACACAACTGTTGTTCATTTCATCAGAACCGTCAACAATTTGACGAATAACTGTATGACATAGCTGATTGATATGTCTGTGCTATCGATCATTCTGTCGAGTGGTTCAATAAATCTCGTGGAATGTGGTGACTCGTGTGTTGCTGATGCACACTGAGCACCATGTGCACTGCATATTCACAATGCATATGGGACACAGGTCATCTCGGTCAGTCGAAATGCCACCACATTCGATCGACTGCAACTGGAATCTGTGGATAGGTCGTCCACAAACAATGTACAACCATTTCGAGATAGGGAGACGCTTCAATGTGACAATGAGCTCCGATTGCAGTCGGCAACCATCGGGATGTCGGGAGAAGTGAACAATACCGTTGGTTGAACAATTTGTAGACATGTTAGGATTGCAAGAATATCTGGTGTATGGAGCCTAGTATTGGATGAGACGCAAAGTGTGATGTGAACCGTCCTCATTCAATGCCTGAAACAGTTGTCATTCGGTAAAAGTATGAAGCACATATAATGTGACTGTCAAAGAGAGACTAACCTTCAGTTGATGGATGCTCAGTTGGCGAAGGCATTGAATGACTTATTGTTTCTGTTTCCGTCTGTGTTGTGCTTCCTCCGTCCTGCTGTTCACCTCCTGTCACATTGTCAGTGTTAACTAGAGAAAAGCATGACACGTGTTTTAAAGTATATAGACAAGTATGCATTTATTCATATTGACTTATATCTTGTCGGCAATCTCATACTTTATCCAATGCTAGTGTACAATACTCTTTCTATATTTCGTCAACGATCCATGTACTTCAACTGCACCATATACTTGTACATGTCGCTTGTAGTAATGGTGTTTCCAAACAAGGTCTGCAATGTGAGGCTTGGAGTGTGATATACTTGTAATCTATCCATCACTCAAAATGAGTCTAACATCAAAAGAGAAAGTAGATTGTGGTTACTGACAAGCAAACATTGATGGTTTGGGCGATGATTCCAATCCACTCATGTTAGTCGGACAGAAGCTGTTGTTTGTCTCAGACCCTTAACGATTAGTGATGAGGCAACCACCGAACGGTATTGAGGTTGTCCTCCGATGTTCGCTACTTCTTTGACTTGTGTTCCCGACCTTGTGTTGGTTTCGACGTTCTGTTGGGACGACCTACGACATGCAAGTTCCGACTATTAGGCTAAGAGTGAGGACTTGGCGTTCCATATCAATAATAGAAAGGATTAACGAGTAAGATCAGCTTCAGTGATGATGTTATTTGTATGTGTGAACTCTCCGTGTTCCTCTGTTACTTTCACGAACGTAAAACGCATACATCCATCCTCACACTTCAGCCTCTCTTGTATTCGTTTAAACCTGTTTCACTGTGTTACAATTCACCTCACACTACATTTAGTTCATGTTATTCGTCTTTGGACTTTTTAACGACAGTTCCAGTCTGGGGACAGTAATTAGTTCGTGTCTTACTTGCTAGTCGAACGTACACTAATTTGCTTTATGGCAAAAATACTATACTGTGTCGACAAACAGTTTAAATTAGCTCTATGATTCCACTCTTAATCTCACCCTTCCTCGGCAGCACGATCTCAACACTCAATTATGGATATAGTAGTACGGTGAATTGGCGAAGTTTGGAATGAAGTAACTGGTTGGATAATTTGGTACGGATGCATGTGATCCAATATGGTTGTCAGTGTGCGGAAGTCATTTGAACCGGAATGTGAGTGAGTGTGAATTTAGTGAATGAGTTAGTGAACAGATTGATGAGACTCACCTCCGTCCTCGGGCAGTACATTTTGTGATGACAAACTTCCGTCTGTGTTCACTGCTCGCAGTTCAGTTGTTGGTTGTTGAGATGAATCGGTCTGTTCCACGTTTTCTGCTGTAACTAGGGAGAGGAACAATTGAGAGGAAATTGAAAATGTGCACATGTGGTAAACATTTCCCTTTGTGTCTGTCTTATTATGGAATAACCGAACAGAACAAATGTTTCAGCACTGTGTCTGTTGTGATGTAGTGAGTACTGAATGTTGATACTGAGAATGTGATGCTCACTTGTCAATGAGATGGCCTCAGATGGACCTACGTGATAACAGCTTACCGTTTAGCGAGTGCTCACGTAATCCTAGTTGTTCTTGTCTCTAAGTGAGTTGATGGAATGTGGTGCTTATGTACTACAGCTGCTGACACTTCAATTGAATGATTGTATGAAGTTGTGTTTCAGTATACACGTTCACTTGCAATGGCTAGATGTTTGTTCGTTTTCAGATCGAGTGACAATGCGATCACAGAGCCATTTTGTTAGTGATGGTAGTGTGTGTGCGTCTGAACATGCCGAATGTACTACACAACTGTTGTTCATTTCATCAGAACCGTCAACAATTTGACGAATAACTGTATGACATAGCTGATTGATATGTCTGTGCTATCGATCATTCTGTCGAGTGGTTCAATAAATCTCGTGGAATGTGGTGACTCGTGTGTTGCTGATGCACACTGAGCACCATGTGCACTGCATATTCACAATGCATATGGGACACAGGTCATCTCGGTCAGTCGAAATGCCACCACATTCGATCGACTGCAACTGGAATCTGTGGATAGGTCGTCCACAAACAATGTACAACCATTTCGAGATAGGGAGACGCTTCAATGTGACAATGAGCTCCGATTGCAGTCGGCAACCATCGGGATGTCGGGAGAAGTGAACAATACCGTTGGTTGAACAATTTGTAGACATGTTAGGATTGCAAGAATATCTGGTGTATGGAGCCTAGTATTGGATGAGACGCAAAGTGTGATGTGAACCGTCCTCATTCAATGCCTGAAACAGTTGTCATTCGGTAAAAGTATGAAGCACATATAATGTGACTGTCAAAGAGAGACTAACCTTCAGTTGATGGATGCTCAGTTGGCGAAGGCATTGAATGACTTATTGTTTCTGTTTCCGTCTGTGTTGTGCTTCCTCCGTCCTGCTGTTCACCTCCTGTCACATTGTCAGTGTTAACTAGAGAAAAGCATGACACGTGTTTTAAAGTATATAGACAAGTATGCATTTATTCATATTGACTTATATCTTGTCGGCAATCTCATACTTTATCCAATGCTAGTGTACAATACTCTTTCTATATTTCGTCAACGATCCATGTACTTCAACTGCACCATATACTTGTACATGTCGCTTGTAGTAATGGTGTTTCCAAACAAGGTCTGCAATGTGAGGCTTGGAGTGTGATATACTTGTAATCTATCCATCACTCAAAATGAGTCTAACATCAAAAGAGAAAGTAGATTGTGGTTACTGACAAGCAAACATTGATGGTTTGGGCGATGATTCCAATCCACTCATGTTAGTCGGACAGAAGCTGTTGTTTGTCTCAGACCCTTAACGATTAGTGATGAGGCAACCACCGAACGGTATTGAGGTTGTCCTCCGATGTTCGCTACTTCTTTGACTTGTGTTCCCGACCTTGTGTTGGTTTCGACGTTCTGTTGGGACGACCTACGACATGCAAGTTCCGACTATTAGGCTAAGAGTGAGGACTTGGCGTTCCATATCAATAATAGAAAGGATTAACGAGTAAGATCAGCTTCAGTGATGATGTTATTTGTATGTGTGAACTCTCCGTGTTCCTCTGTTACTTTCACGAACGTAAAACGCATACATCCATCCTCACACTTCAGCCTCTCTTGTATTCGTTTAAACCTGTTTCACTGTGTTACAATTCACCTCACACTACATTTAGTTCATGTTATTCGTCTTTGGACTTTTTAACGACAGTTCCAGTCTGGGGACAGTAATTAGTTCGTGTCTTACTTGCTAGTCGAACGTACACTAATTTGCTTTATGGCAAAAATACTATACTGTGTCGACAAACAGTTTAAATTAGCTCTATGATTCCACTCTTAATCTCACCCTTCCTCGGCAGCACGATCTCAACACTCAATTATGGATATAGTAGTACGGTGAATTGGCGAAGTTTGGAATGAAGTAACTGGTTGGATAATTTGGTACGGATGCATGTGATCCAATATGGTTGTCAGTGTGCGGAAGTCATTTGAACCGGAATGTGAGTGAGTGTGAATTTAGTGAATGAGTTAGTGAACAGATTGATGAGACTCACCTCCGTCCTCGGGCAGTACATTTTGTGATGACAAACTTCCGTCTGTGTTCACTGCTCGCAGTTCAGTTGTTGGTTGTTGAGATGAATCGGTCTGTTCCACGTTTTCTGCTGTAACTAGGGAGAGGAACAATTGAGAGGAAATTGAAAATGTGCACATGTGGTAAACATTTCCCTTTGTGTCTGTCTTATTATGGAATAACCGAACAGAACAAATGTTTCAGCACTGTGTCTGTTGTGATGTAGTGAGTACTGAATGTTGATACTGAGAATGTGATGCTCACTTGTCAATGAGATGGCCTCAGATGGACCTACGTGATAACAGCTTACCGTTTAGCGAGTGCTCACGTAATCCTAGTTGTTCTTGTCTCTAAGTGAGTTGATGGAATGTGGTGCTTATGTACTACAGCTGCTGACACTTCAATTGAATGATTGTATGAAGTTGTGTTTCAGTATACACGTTCACTTGCAATGGCTAGATGTTTGTTCGTTTTCAGATCGAGTGACAATGCGATCACAGAGCCATTTTGTTAGTGATGGTAGTGTGTGTGCGTCTGAACATGCCGAATGTACTACACAACTGTTGTTCATTTCATCAGAACCGTCAACAATTTGACGAATAACTGTATGACATAGCTGATTGATATGTCTGTGCTATCGATCATTCTGTCGAGTGGTTCAATAAATCTCGTGGAATGTGGTGACTCGTGTGTTGCTGATGCACACTGAGCACCATGTGCACTGCATATTCACAATGCATATGGGACACAGGTCATCTCGGTCAGTCGAAATGCCACCACATTCGATCGACTGCAACTGGAATCTGTGGATAGGTCGTCCACAAACAATGTACAACCATTTCGAGATAGGGAGACGCTTCATTATGATAATGAATTACTATTTCATTCCTTATGGATGGCGATTTTGTGACATGTTTTTTCTACATTTTTAATGATAATTCTTTTCGGTTTTGCCTTTTTTTATGATGCATATTTGGCTCTTAATTTTTACTGTTTTTATATTTTTATTCATTTTTTGTTTTATATGATTGTTTCTTGCTTACCTTGTTTTGTGTTTTCTTTCTCATCTATTTGGTTTATTGGTTTTATTACCATTCTGTCGATTGTAACTGAAAAAATAATCAACGTAAACTTCAATTTATATCATTAGAACATTTTTTGTTCTCATTAGGTTATGAACAAGAAGTCTCATAAGGACAGTCGTTTGTTTTTCAATATAAAATAAAAGAGCTATTTAGTAAAATGTGAAAACTCATCCATTGAATACTTCATTCCCATGTTTCCATCAATTATCCTTCATATTCTGTATGATTCTTCCAATTCACAATAGCTTTCTATTTGCTTATTTGTTGCTGTTTTTTTCAATTTATTATTTTTAGCCTTCTGTTACTATGCATCTCACTTCTGATTTGTGTTATATACTATTTATATCCTTCGATATAAGTAGCATACACTATAACCATAGCTTATACACCATAGTTTCCATTAGTTTACATGTGGTTATGTAAGTAGGTTTATAAAAAACATTTATTAATCGTATCATTACTTTTATGGTTTTCATTGCTGCTATGGACTATCATGATTTACATTCTTATTGTGTAATTTTAGCTAACTGAGTTATTTAATGTCTTTTTTGCGTTTACTGTAGGCTTCCATTTGTCTCAATAACTATTACTGTACATATTATTATTACAAGCTACACCCTGCATGATTCACTATCACATTCGACCTGTTCTTGTGTAACTCCTCCTGAAGTCCCTCTTAGGCTACTGCCCGTCCCAAGCCCGGATAAAAGAGGACGACTGGGCATGGGATTAGCGACCCCATCCTGTAGAAAATTAACTCGCCGGAAAAATGCTAACCAGAAAAATCATTCAAGTAAGTGTATAACTATAATTTTCTATTTGATAATGTGATATAGTCTAATATTTGTGTATATAAATTCATGAATGCTTGGATTGATAATAACAGAAAGTTAATTGATGTCTTTTTTGTTTTTTTTTGCTTGAACTTAGGTCTAGGAATCAAGTGGTCAATAGAGTATAATCAGGGAGGGGTTTTGTGGATATTATAGTAATTCAATTTTTGAATTCAAGCTAGGCGGATGGTGGCGCAACTTCGTGCACCTGTTGAAGTTAGACATTAACACCGTTGGATGCCGGCCAGCTTAGTGGTCGACAGGTTAAGTGCTCGCACGCGAGACTGATAAATCCTGGGTTCGAATCTCGCGGGGCGGGGTGGTGGATATGCACGTCTGAGGAGTCCCATACTTGGGCGAAACGCCTGTCCAGTGTCCGCAGGTTTTTCATGGTGATCTAGCTTCAATTGACTAATGAATTCAACTATTAAATGATCAATATAGGTTTGATATACATAAGCTTCAAGTGAAGAACAATGGTATTAATTGGATGAAATAGGAATTCGAATTGGCGAATTCTTACCATTCACTTTAAGTTGGATGATTTTCAAGGATGATATTTCGCTATTACGAACATAATTAGATTTTAAATGATCCATTATTGAACCGATATTTAGTTTTTGTGCATTAGGATATAAAAACCTCACTGACAGCGCGGCTGTCACTCCACCAAACACTTGAGATTCTGTAATAGGAATATTTACTTTAGAAAGTATAACTTTTCCAAAATCTCCATCATCGGATCCTGGAGGAATAGCCAGTTTAACCAATTTTTTAATCTAAATAATAACATTGATATATTCCATGTGTAACATATTTATCAGAGTTCGATATTAAAAATTCAAATTTACTAAGATTATTCTCTGAAAATAATAATGAGTTAGTGAATACCTCCGTTCGTTGTTAGGAAATGGTACCGTCGGAACAATACACAGTTCTGTTCTATCAAACTTGATCGATAGTGGTCATGTAGTAGACAGAAATAGATCATTTAAAGTGAATTGTCGTATTCCTACTAGTTATCTTTATGGGGTTCGATCTCGTCTCTTACACATAACAGAAAATATAGGAATTACAGCTAACCATCCAAGTCTTTGTGTTCATAAGAAATTTATAACACCTTTATTTCTCCCTTGGCCTTATTAAATGGTTTTATTTGTTATTATTTTCCATACTCTTTGTTAACTTATTTTTCTTCACCCCTTCCAACACTTTTCTTTTTTTCCAAATATACGATTCATTCTAAGTAAAAATGGATAGTGGTTAGCAGTGAAATCCAGTTTGACGCGCATTTCATCCTATTTAGGATTCGTCATCTGGATTTACCTGCATCACAGAGTTGATGTTCACTCTGAGACTCGAACCCAGTACCGTTCACTTCAAACGCCATTGCATTATCCACTTTAACTACTACTGAGTCATGATATCCATTTGCTTGTGCAATGATATGAAGTTTAAATACATTTGGTGTTGTTTACTTGTGTCCTTCCATTATTGTTTAGGACTGTAATTGATCAGTCTCTTATTGACATGTAACCTTATTGTTTACCATGAATATTCATTATACATGATAAATAATAAAAATGAACATTACCAAACGACGGATTGTAATAGATAGTTTCATGTATTCATTTGAATTAGAATTTTCATAAATAGGATTCCATCTGATCAGTTCATCTGTCTTTGCATTTGCCAATAAAGCTCCATTAATTTGAATATCCACTACTGAAGAAAAATAAATTAAAATACCGGTTTAAATATAATACAATAATAATCTTATGAGATAGACAATCAATTGTAGAATATTGATGACGTGTAGTTACTCCTTTAAACAGTAGTACTTATTATTCTGATACTGTAGACTATTGTTATGATTTGTGACTTCTGTGACTTGTTAATATTATCACTTAATGATATCATTAATTAGAGAAGAGCAATGAATTATCGATCGGACCAATGACGCCTAAAACCCGTAGGAACAGTCTAGAGTATTTATTGCTCCTGCTTCTTGTCTAGTCCAGCCAGTTAAGTCTAGAACACCAATCTCAGCCTCTGAGATATGAATCATTTATTTCAAGCATACTGGGTTTATATACCAACCAGACAGACCATACCGTACCACAAAATATAAAACAACATTTATACAAGAATGAGCCAAAATGTGGCTGTGAATGTAAGAGGTAGTAATTAATAGACAGGGCATAATTCAAGAATGGTAAATCGTATAATAACACTTCATAGGTCAAAATAAATCTCATAATAAGAGAGATATGAATATGAATAGTTTAGTTACTTAACAATTCTACGATAAATATATACGCATAGTATTGGTCCATAAATGGATTCCAAGAGTTACCATTCAGTATTCTTATCGGGATATGCCAACTATACTGATGTTTTTGTATTACTTTTTATCAGAATGTAGATTTGAATAGTTGAATTCATGGGTGACGCAAAATCATGGATCGGTTGAAGTTAGACATTAATACCATCGGATGTCGGTCATCTCAGTGATCGAGAGGTTAAGCATTCGCGCGCGAGACCGGTAGCCCCTGGGTTCGAGTCCCACATGTGAGATTATGGATGTGCACTGCTGAGAAATTCCATACTAGGATGAAACAATCGCTCAGTACTTCCAGGTTTTCTTTGATGAATCCAACTATTAAAATAATACTGGTTAGTTCAAGAATTAGTTGCAAACCATATATTGAATTGAACAGTAGTGTGCTTCACTCCACAGATTAGTTCTCTTATGTTTTACTTAGAATTAGTTGACAAGCTATTAGATTCTTTACATTCACCTTATAATGATGAACTGAACATTGAAAAGTATACAGTTTATTTATATTATCATTTTTGTGGGGTTGGTCTGCGCTGAACTCCATTGATTTTTTGTTTTATTCAGTCTATTTATGGAAAGTTTTATTCACAATATTGTGTTATATAAATTCACTTGGTGTTGTTTACTTGTATCTTTCCATTGTTTTTCGAACTGCAATTGATCAGTCTTTTTTGGCACATTCGCATCCTGTGTGGACTGCCTTGATATGGTGTTAGGTCAAAAGTTTTATGAGCAGACATGGAAAGTGGTTAACAGTGGAATTAAGAACGCACGTTTCGTCTTATTTGAGACTCGTCATTTGGATGTACCTGCATCTCAGAATTGGTGTTCACTCTGGGACTCGAACTCAATACCGTTCGCTTCAAACGCCATTGCATTATCCACTTTAGCTACTGCTGAGTCGTGATAGCCACTTGCTTGTGCAATGAGGTGAAGTTTAAATGCATTTAGTGTTGTTTACTTGTGTCCTTCCATTGTTGTTTGGGATTGCAATTGATCAGTTTCTTATTGGTATATGTGCATCCTGTGTGGACTGCCTTGATATTGCCTTAAGTCATAAGCTTTATAAGCAAAGACGGATAGTTTGATGACGCGTGTTTTGTCCTCTTTGGAACTCGTCATCTGAATGTACCTGCATCTCGTTGTGAAAGGATACTACGATGAACAAACCATACACTTCATTTGATTGAGAATAGTTGTATTTTGTAGCGTTTTTTTTTAAAACAGTCTTCCTTTAAATTTATCTCTCAAGTGTTTTGTGTCAAGGCATTTGCGTAAGATATCTATCTGAAATATTTCCACTCCCATCTAGTCTTTTGGAATTCCATTATGTATGATATTTCATACATCTACTTACAGTTGTTCAAAAACGCATACATGTAATTACTAAATCATAATAGCCCCTGAGTGTCCTGGTACGTCCGGGGGCGGGGTGAGTCAACTCTCCCTCTCCAAATGCTCTCAAATAGCCACAAGTATATAACCACTGTCAGGGAAGTCCTACTCACTGCCTTCTCGTGGTGGGGGTGTTGTCTACGATGTTGAAAGGAGAAAAAACTTTAGACGGGTTGGTGGGTATGGAGGATCCACACAGGGGAGTAGCAATACCCTGATTCCAAACCAATGTTTTACATGGGCTCCAAGATGCTGAGCGAACAAATGGCGTATGTAGCGACTATTGATCACCGGCTACCATGGGACTGCATCTCCTGACGTTGCTCCACTGCATTTTAGATTAGAACTTCGGGTCAAAGGCTCCGGATGTGGCCTCCTAAGAAAAACACCTGATTCAGTTTGAGCACTCGGGTAGTATCCTAATCCACAAACAAATCAAGTGATTTTTGTGGCACATACGTATTCGGTGCCACTTTGTACCAATATTCATGTGTTCGTATTTATATCATGATCTCGAAAATAATGTTATTGAATATGTTGGAAGAGTTACAAAAATATCCCTCGTCAAAGTTCATAGGGGTTCAAAAATTCCAGAAAACGTTTTATCCAATTAGTATTGGATAGAATCTTTGCAAACATATCTAGAAAATACAGAACAACGTTCCATAGTTCTGATTGGATACTGACCTATGGCTGTTACTACAGTTATTAAAGTTCCAGAAATTTTCAGAAGCTTAAAACCGTGTGTAACCATCTAAATACTCTTGTCTTTCTGTACATTTTCTAAGCTTATAGTGAAGAGTTCTTCATACAATCTACTCCTTTTACTTTTGTGTAGATTTAGTCTGGGTTTTTTTTAGTGAGCTGCTAGGAAATCGGATTGAGTGTTCATTTAGGTAATAAGTTCAAACAATTTATGTCAGTACCAGATGCTTTAAACTTTCAGTGTCATTATAATCTGATAATAGTTAATAATTCAAATGCTCAGATAAATCATATTATTGTATGTACTACTAATGTCAACAGATATAAGTAGTATATATCATCAATCGAAAATGAAATACCTGACGGCAGAAGATAAAGATCAAAGAAAAGACAACTAAACCTAAGAATGATTGATGTGGAAACAAAAGAACAATGAAGTCTGAAACATTTGACTGACATTTTGCAAATGAACTATTAACTGTATAAATTCACTTGGTGTTGGTATACTGGTATCTTCCTATTGTTGTTAAGGACTGCAATTGATCAGTCTCTCTTATTGCCATATGTGCATCCTGTACGGACTGCCTTGATATTATCTTAAGTCATAAGATTTATAAGCAAAGATGGATAGTGTTTAGCAATTGGAATTCAGTTTAATCCTCGTTTCGTCCTATTCGGGACTCGTCAACTGGATGTATGGTTCTTAGATTTGACTAAAAGATTCTGTAATTTTGCATTCAAACACATTTGATTGTGATCGTTTGTATTCTCGTTCACTAAAATACTAGTTCATCATTGAAATAATACAATCTATGGTATTATTTATGTTAATATGATGATGAAATAAATAAAAAAAAACAAATGCATTCCATGGAATCACTGAAGTAATAACCAAAACAACAACAATTTACCAGTTCTTCCAATGTCAGTAAGTCCATTAGATGATTGTTGAACTTTAGGTTTATCAACAGATGGAGATCGATTTGACAATATTTGAGCATTATATACTACTGATAAAATATTCATTATGATGAGTAGTTTCATTTCTATGAAAATAAATATGATCATTAGGGTTATACAATATAATTAAAATGAACTCATTGTATCATTGAATAAAAATTATTAAAAAAACAACAACAACAGCCAGAATTCAAAGAGGAAAATTTTCCCTTCGACGAAATGGTTTTTTTCCTTATTTTTCGATCGATCGCGACGATCAATATTGATTGATCAACAGTTTAGATGTTAACAGTTCAGAAATCGATATTTGAATAATGTCTATTCTTTACGATACATATTGGCAGTAACCATAATGTATCTGACGAGTTTGTTTTGTAACTTGTACAGTGGAATGTAATCTTTTCATAAACATCAATCAGTCAGTCAGCTACAACGTAGGTCAAAGTTCATATATACATCGTTCCAAGTTGCCATTATCTTATTAGTACAACAAGATGAACACTGGATTCATAGAAGTGGTTGCTTCAACGGTAGTAATATATAAAAGAATGATTGTGTATAAGGATATAGTACAGATAGAAAGAATTATTTGGTAGAAAAAAGATAAAGCAACTTTAATCTCATAGTTTAAGGTAAGACAGAGAGTGTATACACCTACGCCATTGTGATCGATTGTGAGCTATGACACCCAGTCTCCAACCATTGGTTATGATAGTCGCAAGGACCTCAACCAAGTAGTCTGCATCTACCAACATGACTCAGACCAGAAGTTAGTGACTTCAAGTACTGATCCCACATTTTCATAAACATACCTGAATAGGTTATGAGACTAATAAGCATAATGATGAGTTAAAATAAACAAGGAAACATATAACTTGTTGAAATATCTAGATAACAGGAATAGGTAGCCCAGTTGTTTAAGCAGGTCATCGAAATAATTCAAGACTCTTATTATCAAATGAGGTTATGTAATAATCAAGGGCTAATTGAAGAATATAAGGATGAAAATAATTTACAGATCAGAATTATGAAAGATAGTTGTCCAATTCACAAATTTGTGGGGTAGCTTACATTGACCGCACAAAACGACCACTTTCTAAACGCATTTTACATTATTACTAGTTCAACACAGGAGCATATAATCAAATATTGACAAATCACTCCGACGGAATCTTCTCTTAAAATAATCTACACATTCAAAGGAATTGAATAGTAGGGAGGTCGAGTTAAAAACTCATACACTGCTGAGGTATTGGCAATCCACCAACTCAAGCCCGAACTCTATGTGCCAAACCAATACGTCTAACCTTTCATCCTGCCTTGCCCCTAATTCACTTTTGTGGTATGTTTTGGGTCATTATTATTATTTGATTTTTAAAGTTAGTTCAAACCGTAATCAGTTATTATTCCCTTAAATGGACAATTATGTTTCATAATTCTGACCCATAAATTATTTCCGTCCTCCTATTCTTTTCTAATCCCCCTGATTATTACGTAACCCCATTTGATAATAAGAGTCTTGAATCAATTTGTGATACAATCTTTTCTATGCTTCTATAGACACATATATTTGATTTTAATGGTTGAAGTCATCAGTCAACTAAAGTTAGACCATTATGGAAAACCTGGAAGCACTGGAAGACCGTTTCGTCCTATTGCGTTGCTCCTCAACAGTGTGCATCCACAATCCCGCCTCTCGAGACTTGAACGCGGAACCTATCGGTCGCGCATGTGAACACTTAACCTGTCAACCACTGAGCTGGCCGATATCCAACGGTGTTAACGTCTAACTTCAACTAATCCACAAATTGAGCCACATATCCACTAATGTCTTCAGTGAGTTACTATCTCATAACAGTCTCGGTTGAACACCAATGCTTCCATTATTACTGTTCACGTCTTACTATTTTATTAACGAAGATAGTATACATTACTATCCATTATGTTATCATCAAAAAGGATTGTTGATTTGAGTAGACGACATTTCATCTATTAATCGATATAACTAATTAAGGATGCCCTCAATTTTTCTGAAGTTTAAACAATGCGATGATAATTCATGGACGACCTTTAAGCGAATCTAAAGTGACCTTAAAATTGTCCACCTACTCACTAGAGCTAAATGAGGGTTATGAATCAGTGTGTTAGGAATGAGAATTATGATTTACAATTTCTATCACAAACTGACATCAGCCTAAATGCTAAAATCACATTTAACCAAATTAATGAATGAATTTCATGCCAAAATCTAAGATTCAGTTATCTTATATCTAATTAGTTCGTTCATAAATTATAATCTCGCTATTTAGTAGTAGTATCTGGTAGCTGACATTCTTTTCAATCACATTTAAGTACAGATTATATCCCTCAAGACATGTACCATATCATACATTCATATGTGAGAACATTTTCTGATAATTATCTGAAAGGGGGTTTTGTGGAGATATTAGTCATTTCAATAGTTGAGATCATGAATCAATTGAAGCTAGACCATTATGAAAAATCTGGAAGCACTGAACTGTCATTTCGTCCTAGTATGGGATTCTTCAGCAGTACGTATCTACGATCTTGACTGCTAGATTTAACATCACAAACTCATTTGAAGTCAGTCAGTCAGTCAATTACAACGTAGGACCAGGCATATATATATCGGTACAAGTTGCTACACCTCATTGGGACAACAAGATGAACACTGGATTCATAGAAGTGGTTGCTTCAACGGTAGTAATATATAAAAGAAGGATTGTGTATAAGGATATAGTACAGATAGAAAGAATTATTTGGTAGAAAAAAGATAAAGCAACTTTAATCTCATAGTTTAAGGTAAGACAGAGAGTGTATACACCTACGCCATTGTGATCGATTGTGAGCCATGTCACCCGGAGTCTCCGACCATTGATTACGATAGTCAGCGTAGACCCTCAAAGTTAGACAATCATTGAAAATCTGAAAGATACTGAAAAACTATCTTTGGTGTTGAATTACTATACATTGGAAATCATGGATGAAAAGTATATAATAAATAGTTAGATTCAGAATAAATTATTGTGTTCTTGAACAGACCAAAATTGTATAAGAGAACACTTTAATGTAACGTAGAATAAGATACAAAAAATAACATAAATTGTATTGGCAAAATATTTAAACAATAATAATCAGAAAGGGGGTTTTGTGGAGATTTTTCGCAATTTCATAGTTGAATTAATGAGTTAGATATTAATATAATTGAATACCAGCCAGCTCAATGGTCAACAGGTTAAGCGTTCGCGTGCTAGACCGATAGGTTTTGAGTTCGAATCTGGCAAGCAGGATCGTGGACACGCATTGCTGAGGAGTCTCATACTATGACGAAACACCCGTCCAGTGCTGCCACGTTTTTCATGATGGTCTAGCTTTAATTGACTTATGAATCTAACTATAAAGTCACTAATAATCATCGAATGGATAATAATAATAATAATAATAATAATAATAATAAAGAACTTACTTGGAACTGTTGAAATGTGTAAATATGTACAGAAGGATGTTAGCTATTCACAGTTACTTACTGATTCTAATGAAACTATTCTATCGTCTTTATAAACCATATAGGTTTATATACATATATATTAATATATGTTGCTACATTTATTTGCCAATAAACAACCTACGTACGTGTGTGTGTGTGTAAGTTGAATAACAGATTTCTGTATACTACGCAACTATAACCGATGTTTCAACCAACAATTTTTTTAAAAAAAAATAGAAAGCTATATCACGGTTACGATAGCGACTGAAGTTAGTGACCAGAATCAGTCAAAATCAAGAGTTAGACAATTATGAGAGGGAGTGATAATTCAGTACAGAGTAATAATAATAGTTCTTTTACTTAAAATGTTGATTGGAACGTTTGACATTAACTGATTCTGAACCCATCTGAGGATATGTTCTATAACCCTTTATTGTATTCTTCAACTATTCTTCTTAATGTATGTGTGCATTGTCTAGGTGTATTTGGATTCATGAACTTAGTCCTTTCAATCACAACTAGTTTAGTAGCGTAGTGTGTGTTCTCGATGAATGCATTTAGTCTCTGTCTTAAAATCATGTTATTATCAGAAGGGGTTTTGTGTAGATTATAGTAGTTTCATTAGTTGAAATCATGAGTCAATTAAAGCTAGACCACCATGAAAAACCAAGAAGCACTGAAAGGCCATTTCATCCTATTGTGAGACTCCTCGACAGTGTACATCCACGACTTCACCTCGCGGGATCCGAACCCAGGACCTATCAATCTCGCGCGCGAGCGTTTAACCACTAGACCACTGAGCTGACCAGCACTTAACGGTGTTAATGTCTAACTTCAACTAATCCATGAAATTGAGCGACACATCCACCATTGTCATCAGTAAGTTACTATCTCACAGCCGATATGGTTGAACTCCACTGGTCACTGCTTCTCACTAGAACTCCAGGATATACCTCTTGAAGCCAGTCACTAGTGACCATATGTTGATTAGTATCAGAAGGGGTTTTGTGGAGATTGTAGTGATTTCAACAGTTGAGATCGTAAGTCAATTAAACCTAGATCACCTCTAAATAATAAAGAGATATAAACAGTTACCTTCGGAACAGAATTGAAGAGAGGTTTTGGTGTTGACTTACTTTTGTACGTATCTATAAATTTCAGTGGATAACCATATGATATTATTATATCAGTCAGCAGTTTTGCACCTTCTTCAACTATTCTGTGGTGCATATTCTGTGAATCCTATTAAAGAGGCACTTAACCAAGCCTTGCTCGAGTTGCAATGGATAAAAATTGTGGAAATTTGAATACTGATCAGTTCACGTTAACTTCCTATAAACTGACTGTATTATGGTTCCACCCTCTCTTCAACTCAAAAGTATGTCTTAAAAGGGAAAACGGTTAGTGTTTTGTTCCTCGTAGGTCAATACGATATCGTTCTGTACGCTAATGAGTTCATATAACAAATGAGCAACATCAAAATCTTTATCACATATGACTAATATATCATCCATGTATTTTCTATACAGAGTTATCTCATTGATGAGCTCACTTTTTATATTTTCAACATATGACA